GGGTCTTCGCACGCTTGGCGGCCGCGAAGTCGATGTCCAACTTCTCCTGGCGAAAGCTTTGGTTGGCTCATGCGGACAATCCAATTGATAGAAGTATGAACACTCGCCATGTAGTGGCCGCTATCCCTGAAGATTTCTGCAAAAAATCCTGAAAGCTCTCATGGACATGGAGTGAGTGCCCCACCGTCTTCTTTGGTGCCCCACCGGGCCAAAAGGTGAGTCACATGGTAACAGATCACCTGGTGCCCCCCCGCTGCAGCTGGAAATTCATGTTCCGAAGGAGAGAAGCCATCCAGGTTGGCCCATGATGATTTCAGGGTTTGGTTCGGCCCCGTTTCCCCCTGCGTGCAACGGTGGATCGGGTCCCTGCCATGGACAGCCCGTGCGGATTCTTAGGGAGGGACCAGAAACAAACATAACACCCCAAGAGCTAAGCCTCCAAGAGCTTCGTAGGCGGAGTGACCTTTTCGTAGGCACTAGGTGGCATCTGCCCACCAAACCCTCCGAGTGCCCTGAAGAATCGGACTCCCTCCGAGTGCCCCCCCGTGAGACAGGAGGCCCGAGGTCTCAAGACACCCGAGGTCTCAAAAACTGGTGAGCTTTTGAATCGAATGCGAGGATGTGCGCTTCATCCCCCACCTGTGATGTGCGCTGCGCATGATGCGGTGCAGCTTTAAAAGCGACCAACTGGCAGGGGGGGGGTGCAGCTGAGGTGGGTAACTTTGCCCTTGATCAAGCTGAATCACTCAAATACCTGAAAGAGGTCAAGTGCAATGCAGCTAGGTTCCTTTTCGATGTCAGAACTCTTGGCATTTCCAAAGCCAGAGCTGTTTGCACGGGGAAGATCGCAAACATGAACATCATAATTCTTCCCGGATTAAAAAAACACACATCTTTGTTTGCCTCGGTTGCGGGGTAAACATGGCAACCTCAGCCACATGTTCACCGGAAAGAGTTGCAAGACCATCATAGCAAATCTCCCTATGACATCTATGACCTAAGAATCAGGGCCCGAACGAACAGATAGGGTGATAGGGTGATAGGGAACCGGCCCCCGGACATCCCCCCTGTGTGCAACGGTGGAGAGGGTCCGACCCCCGAGGTGCGGAGTTAATCGGGTGACCTTCATCCAATCGTCTGATCTTAAGGTCTATCTGATTGTGTCAGACCTCCACCGCGACTTCTTCTCCTCCGTGGCAACCTGCAAAATACTACACCTCTGAGACAAAACGGGTCTGAAGAAATGAGTGAATTAAGTGAGCGGCAGCTTGGCACTGAAAATCCAATTGTCAAACGTTGACCTGGTCCACCTGTCAAACTGTTGAACATCTGTTGAAAAGACATGAACCCTGCAGTTGGTTCCTTATACTTGGTTTCCACCTGGCCAAACCTTGCCCATACCACTCCACGTTTTAACGTGTTGCGCCTCTTTTCTGCATTTGCTTGAGGAACCTGCAAAAAATAATTCCCCCTCAAAGGGGTTTTACGCATAGATATAAGTATACATAAATAAAACTAAATCATCTTCAAGAAAAACTCCGTTGTTCTTCAGGTCTACCCCTCCCAGCGACCCCAACCGCCTCCCGTCCTCAAACTCGTCCTTGGTGACGTGCCCAGTGTTGTCGGCGTCCATCTCCGCCCACAGAATCATCCGATCCGCCTCGTTCACCTCATGGCGTGGTTCGCCGTTTTGCCTTTGTGTTTTGCGGGCGCGTGGGCGGAGAGAACGGAGATCATGAGCTGAAAAAAAGGCTAAGAATACTGGAGAGGAGCATAATCCCATAGATCTGCCATGATCTGCCAACCATGCAAACAGTTTTCTTTGGCGGGCGGTATGAACCATGAAAGGGCCATTTTGCTGCTTGCAGGTCTATAGGCAGACTTATTTTGGGTGGTTGACCTGGCGTTAAACGTGGAGTCTCAGCGGATTTGCCAAACAATCTTGCAAGACTGGACGTGGTTGACCTGGGGTTCTTGCCTGCGCCGGATGGCTAAGGAGACAGATCTGGCAGTTCCCAACCAAGGAGGCTTCTTCTTTCGGCTTCGCGCGACGTTCCTACGGCGGGAGAACCAAACACGCGGTGGCTGGGCGTCCCGGCGCCCAGGAACTTCAAGACGTATTCGAAGGACTTGGCCTTCAAGGTGGGCGGGTCCTCCGCCGGAAGCCTGAGAAGTGAGAAGAAGCCGGAGAGAGGAAGGTACAAATAGACGCTGAAGCGGGTGTCCAAAGCTGCCAGGTGTGTGGTACAGTGGTACAGTAGCATCAAAGGGAGTGTACTTTCTGAATGGGGAGCCTGCGAGCATCATCCAACTGCTGCAACTATAGTGTTGATGAGTATTATCTTGTTCATGCAAATGTAGGTATACCCTAGGGCTCCAAATACCTTCTCAGAAGGTGGGACTGGGGTGGGTTCAGAGGGTCCAGATACCGAACCTGAGGAGGTACGACTGGAGCCCTAGGGATATTGATCTGGAGATGCCATTTATCGCTCCACGGAGCACCTTGGAAGGTCGACTTCGCCATCCACCAGTGGTTTCTGTTCGCCATCTTCTCAGCCAAGCAACCCACTCTCGTTGCCCTGCTCGCAGAACCACCTGGCGCCAAGGTTCGAGACGCTTCGGTAAAAAACATGACGTGTGTGTGGGATAGTGTGGGATAGGGATAGATCTACCCTAGCCCTACACCTCCAGTCGTACCTGATCAGAAGGTATGACTGGACCCTCCTGGCACCCACCCCAGTCCCACCTTCTCAGAAGGTACGACTGGAGGCCTGGGGTAGAAGTGCACTTGAACCCCGAGCGTTCCCATTGTTTGACGACGGATTCTACATGATGGATACCAACCAAATCCACCATTTGAAGAACGGTCGAACGGACTTCCAGAATCTGCTTTGACCAAAAACAACAGAGGTTGAATGACCTGAACTAGTCTATCCCATAGGTACCCCAGGCTACGGGTCCTAGTTCAGGTCACGTTCCACCTCTCTTGGACAACAACCGCCGCAGGCCCAAATAGCTCCGAGGGTCGGAAGCTGGACTGCTGCGACCTCCGACTCACTACGGGACAATGGCCGGATGACCATTCTCCTACAAACAGGTGGTTTCCACTTCCATGTTAGTGAGTCAAAGGGTAAGCCGGGTAAGCTAGCTGTGGTTCTTTCAGTTTGTCTACAGAGATGCAGGACCTTCCAACCAACGGCAGCCGTCCCCACTGACAGCCATTGACAGCCGCAGGACCTTCGAAGCGTTCCAATCTTTGTCCAATCGTTCCTCCCTCTCTCAGCTCCTTCCAATCCCCACCCACCTGAAAGCTTCTTCCGTGGTGGTGTTCGGCATCTTCCTGCCACAGCCCAGGCTGCTGGAACAAAAGCAAAGCAGGTTGGTTCTTAGATCTATCCAGTGAATGGGATGGGCATCTCTTCCTCTGAATAGCCACCCCCCATGTGGGGAACTCCTCTGAGTGTTGAGGAGATGGGAAGAAAATGCTGGCTATCATTGCAGGTCTGTGGCTTGCAACCTCTCAAGCACTTTCGAAGGCTGCGGAGTTCCGTTCCGTCTCAAAGTCGAGTCATTTTGGAGCTCAGCTGACTGGTGCTTCATCTCAGCAAGCTCTGTTCCGCCCCCCCAAGCCCCCAGGAACGAACGTCAGTGTTCTGGCAGTCCGCACTGGTTTCGGGTCCTGAGCAGCTTGTCCGCTATGTTCTGCCAGGTGGTGGAAGGCCTTATTTCAACGGCGGAAGCAGGGCAGGTCTCCATCTGGAGCTGGGATTCTGGTTGTGATACAAATCTGGCGGGCTCTTCCTGTGCAAAAGCAAAGTTTTCCACTTCCTTGCTATAGCTTAGTGGGTGGAGTTAGAGTTAGAGGGTCAAACATCATGCGGTGGCGAACGAGCCAAGATCGGACCGCAGAACATGGTCTTAGCGATGCGTCATGCATCTACTGTCTCCATGGTGTTTGTGAATGTGAGTTGGTTGGACCCCTTTAACCAAGCTCTGTTCATTTGAGTCCATTATTATGAGCACACGAGTCGACCAATCTGACTTGCTGGGGTTCGGCCACCAAGCAGCAAACCAAAGCAACAAGCAAAGTCTTCATCTGCCACAATCATGTGTATAGGAAATTCAAGAAGAAGCTTGAAGAAACATGAACATGAGCAGTCAGAGTCAGTGTGTTCTGGCTGAACATGGCTGAGCTCTTGGGGGGTACGCGTACGAGACTCCCACGATCGTGATACCTCCTCCAAGAGACTCCAACTTGAAGACACGCACCATGGACTGCACCAATGTGGTGAAGGCCTGCACCACATTGGTCGTCTTTTGGGAACTGAATGCCCGCTTGGCAGCTCTGCAGGGGCTGAGCGGTTTAACATGTTGATTAGTCCTATAGTCCATCATCTATGACTATCTATGATCTTTCTCGTAGCCCTGCCACAAAACGCACAAAAAAGGCAACCTAACTCCTGAAAAAGAAGAGGAACACTGCCATGGGCTCCCCAAACAAAGAAGGAAAACAAAAACATGCACTGTAATGATACAAATCGGAACACCATTCTCCTCACCAAACAGTGGCAAGATAGTGTAAGTCAAAGCATGTTCAAACCATGTTTATACATGTCCCAAACACTCCATGTATGCCATATAATATATATATATATATATATTGCCGAACCCCTGGCACCACCCCAACTGATCGGCATATATATATATATGGCAGTCCCATGGAGTGTCTGGGTGTTAAAACACGGTCGTCTTCGGGATGCGTGCAGTCTTCACGCGATGTCACCCCATGTCACCCCGAGTTCTTCAGAAAACAGCTCGCAGCCGCCTCTGGATGATCATCTCGCAACAGCTCGACCGTGTGATACGGGAGCACCTCGGAATCGCGGCATCGCCGGCTCGTGCGCCGAGGTCGGGGCTGGGACCCAACGGGTGCGACCGGAGGATTCAGAGACCTGAGCCCTAAGGTGAGCCATATGCCATGCACCCCAACTTCCAAGGCCTCAGGGCCTCAGGGCCTCTTCTGGACCTCCATGAAAAGCCAAAGAATGGTGCAGATTTGCCAGTTGCTGGGATGATCTCAAGCTGGCCAAATCTTCTACTATAGCTGGTGCATCCTCCTTCCATCCCTCACTTGCTTTGCCCACGTTTGACTCTCCATCCCCCAACTCCAAAAAGGTGCCGGTCGATCGAGGTACCGAGAGCACGCAATAGGTCTTCGCCATGATCCAGGCAGCACGCGGACGTGCGGTGAGCATGCCCAGCTCGCCAAAGTACTTCCCAGCAGTGTATTCCTCGGTGCTCGGCCCCCGGAAGCGCCGCGGCTGTGGAGACACGGCGCGGGTTGGGTGAAGACACGAGTACGGGCGAGTCGGTGCTGTGAAGAGGTGCCGTGAGGAAAATCTTGGGAGGAGTCCCAGCTGGTATGAGACATTTAGTGAGACCCTTTGGATGGTGAGTTCGAATAGAACTGGTGGGGGCTGGCAGCGAAGATTACAGAAAGTGGTCCAGCCTTCAGCCTTCTGTGATGCTGCTATGTTTTTCCTCAACCCTCAGGCTTTTTCTATGTTTTCGTCTGTTTTCTTCCTCTCTCTCTCTCTCTGCGAAGGTCAAGATCTACAATAACCGCATCTCTGTTGACTGGCCGTGGAAGAAAACATGCGACATGCGATGAAAACTGGGCTTCGACACTGGTCCCAACCACCTTCCACTAGGATCCTTTTGGGAAGAAAGACTCCGTTGCGCGGTGCTCTTCCATTTAGAGCACACATCGGAACCAGTCAGAATGGAAGAAAAGAAACAACATCTCAAACCTCCGGAACACCAGAGGTGCTGAACCAGCCTTCCACCGGGGCCTTCGACCACTTGCACCTTCTCTCTCCTCGCATCGCTGCACTTGCACCGCGCGTTCTCTCTCCTCGCCCAGTCACGGCCACCTCCGTGGACTCGCCCATCACCGGCGGGCACTCCGGGCCACTTGGATAGACGCCTCGGTCCGTCCGCTGAGTCGGAGTCACGGTGGGGGGTGGGGGGGGTGGTCCAATTAGCTGAAGTGGTGGTCTAGCTGATGTGGTTACTAGAACAAACATGCACCGACTACTTTATTATATACTCATTTATGCTATATTTTATATAGTAATTGGGTTTTACAGTCGCTAAGTGTCCCCTCTATTCATCCACCCCATGGGTAAAGGATGTAAAAGGTTACCAGTTGGGTTCAGCTGCTGCTCCAAATCTCTCCAGGTCCGTGGCGTCCGGATCTGTCCGGCCCTGCCTGCCACGCCACGCCGCATAAAGAAAAGCTCTCTCCCAGTATCACCTGAAGTCCAAGGATCTGAAGAATCTGGGTCCAAGGATCATGGCTGCTGTTCTGCCATGTGTCTGGACAGAAATTCAGATGTTCTGCACTGAATTGGCTGGTGGTGGGAAGCTAGGTCCACTCTTTGCTTCACAAACGTCCTCCCAAAAAGAGCCTCAACACTGCCTGACCATGTCATAGGGTGGGCCACAGAAGAATCCCTCAGCAAACCTCTGGAGAATAGCTGGTCACATGTTGTCACACACAAAGAACTACACAAACTCACCGCATCTCTCGGTGCCAAGGTCTAAGGCACCACTGCAAACGATGAAGTCGGCCGGCAAGTAGATGAGATCTGAAAGCGAGCTCACCATCATGGAGATGACCTCAGTCTCCAACACACACCCGGCACAACGGCACGAACCCTTCGTGAGCCTCCGATTTGACCGTCAAAGCCAGCTAAGAGTGAGTTGGTTGGGTAATCAATGCTCCAGTCGTACCTCCTCAGAAGGTATGACTCAACCCTCTAAACCCACCCCAAACACCTTCTTAGAATGTACTCGGAGCCCTAGGGACAGTTATCCTTTTTCCGGCAGGTCACTGTGCAGTTGGTTTCTCACCCTCAGACCTGCACCACAGCCAAAAAGCTTGCCTTGCACATGTTCCTCATCCCAAAAGACTCCTCCCAAACTCTGGATGTTACAACCAACATGCCGCGCCACGTGCTTCTTCTGCTCCCGCAAGAAGGGTGCTTTCAGAATCAACTTCCGATACGCTGCTAGTCGAAGCTCCTGTCTGTTTTCGCGCGTGTTCGGAGCCGGAGGCAGTGGCGGCCACACATGATCAAGGTCTCACTGGTTGCTGACCATCTCACTCCTGCCTGAAATGCTATTCCCTAGGGCTCCAACCATATCCTCAGAAGGTGGTTAGACCCCCCCAAACCCACCCCAACCATCTTCTCAGGAGGTGGTTGGAGCCCTAGGGATTTATCATGTTGAGTTCATGATGGTGGCCATTTCGGGGTTACGCCACCGGGAGCACACCTATACCTTAGCTACCTACATTTGGAATTTGCGGCACTTTTTGGAGTTGACCTTTGGAGTGCAATTCAGGGACATGTCAGTCACTCAAAAAACCGGAACCCCCGACGAACGTTTTCCAAACATCAGCAGATTCCCAAAAGGGTTGAGTAGGGAAGCCTCAGCCTCACCCCCCCAAACGGCATCAAGTCGCCGGCTTTCCAGAATCAGGCAAGGGACCCAAACCAAAACAGAAACCCAACCGGTTCGTGCGGAAAATCCGTTGCGATGATTCTGTTATGTGAGACCTCCCAATCTTGGACCCTCCAAAAACTCTCCGCATCCAGGACTTCCTCACAAACACACACGCACACAGTGCATATCATACACTACACTCACTATACGTCTTCACCACGCGGCCCAAAATGGCTCTGACCCCCTACTTCAAAAGGAAGGCTCTCCACTTCAGGCCGGTCCTGCATCAGGGGCGCCGACAGGCCGTGGAAGGCCGGCTGATCCAGGTCTTCTTCCCGATGCACGTGCTGCACGAAGCTCTGATATGCTAAAACCTGAGCGGAGCCGGTCCGCGACGGAACCGGAATCCGCGACGGAACCCGCCCCTAAGGCGGTCTCCGCGGGTCGGTGGGTCCAGAGTCCGGCGTGCGAAGCGATGGTTCTGGGCCAAGGCAAGTGAGAAGTCCAGAGCCCAACAAGACTGTGAGCCTTGCGCACCTCTGCGCGTCTGGGAGGGTGAGAAGGGCTGTGAACTGGTGGAATCGATCGGACTGACCCAGCCCATAATAGACCGGTCTTCAGCCATGCTCCACCAATGCCGGACCAAGCTGATTCGTTCAGCCCATGACTTGAGGCATGGCCAGAGTGGCCTCAAGGGGCCCATCAAGTGGCCCATGAGAGTCTCAACCCCCCCTCTATAGGGTCAAAAATGCTGGCTATGAGGGTGCAATAGGGTCCAACGCCATCCAACTCCCGGCTGTTCTACCTGCTGTGTAGGACTCTCTCCCCCTCACCAGTGGTTCCACCCAGTTGCCCGCTCGTGCAGCTCGCTTGGGACCTCGGAACCAGCGCCCAATTTCCAAACCGGGTTCCCGGTGGACTACGCACAACCCAAAGCACTGAAGTCTTCGGATGCTTGGGTGTGGCACATGAGGAAACGAACAGATGGTGACACCGTCGAACGACGGTCGTACGACCCAGGCGGCCGGCGCGGCGGCGCCGAACAGTCCAGTCAACGAGGGATCCTGTGTGGGTCAACACAGTCGAGACTGCGGTGACTCTGGAGGTTAGCACTTGGAATTGGTTCCATGAACATCCATGATCGAACTATATAGTTCCCGCAACATTCATTCCGAAACAATTTAGGGGAAACTGTGGAAGGTCAAAAGACATCTGCAATCCTGAAGAACCTTTGACACTGCAGGCCTCAATTCCAAGGGTTCACTGCTTCAACTCTATCGGATGGGTACCAAACCTACTGGAAAGGGGCAGGCAAATCAACTTCAAAACCTCCATATTGCGTCTCATGCTTGAGTGACCATATACCAGGACCCACTGTCGGGGTGGTGTGGTTGAAGGACACCCCTTAACCTTTAAGGAGCAAGGTTAGGGGCTATCAATGGAAGCCCCCAGTTCCGGTGTCCTGGTGTGACCATACACTCCGGAACCAAACTGCCTGCTCTTCGGCTGTCATGCTCCAAGCTTCGCGCTGCCACCGAGGTCTACCGTGGATTCTTGGAGGAATTCTCGACCCGGGCCCCCTACTGTATAGGTTAGGTAGGGGTGTCTAATTACAGCTCCTTAGAGGTCATGAGATGGTTAATGGGTGTATAGGTTAGGGGTGTCTCTGAACACCACCCCAAAGCAACGCTTCGATGGATTTCCGTCCTCTCCGCCGAGAGCGGGTTTACCCCGGTGACCCGACCGCTGGCCTGGAGGTGCTTGAGGGCCACCGAGGTTTGAGCCTTCTGTGACTGGTTCCTTGAGCCCGGAAACGGAGCCGGTTGGACGCGCCCAAGAACGACGGAGCCGGGGGGGGTGCACTGGCAGGGGTGGTTTTTTTTGGAGGGGCACAGCAGTGAAACTGGACTGTGCAGGACAAAGAGATGAGAGATGCAAGGGTGTTTAAGGAGAGAGTTTTTTACAAAACGGAGGCTGTATCCAGCACAAACTAAAAGAGCACTTATATTGGAGTTATATATATGCAGGACGCACGGCGGACACACCCTTTTCCACTGAACTAAGGGGGAGGCTTGTGCCATAGGTACCAATCGGAGAGTACTAGGGACACACAATCTATACAACTTGCATGCCCGTGTCAGTTCCGCTCTAAGGAACTGAGTGTGAGTTGAGAGACAGGAGTTGAGCGATTTTTGCTCGTACTTCACTTCCCATCAATCAAACACATCTTTTCCTTGCTGTTGACGTTTGCGTCCAGAAAACATGAGCTCATCATGAACAATCTTCCATCGTTGACCTAACTGGACAAATCGGCACATTTGTATATCCTCACCTCGCTTAGTAATGCTGTTGGCAAGCATGGCCTGTGAGTTAACCCACCTAACTCTCAAACCAGTCTCCTGTTGGGATTCCTTCAGAGTGATCAGTTCCAAGTCGATGCGTTTTTGAGCTCCCTTGGGAGTGATATATGGTTTGTCAACACGATCAAACACATTGCGGCTATCCGTAATCAGGGTTCCACACGTGCGAGACACATGCTCATAAATATTATGGCTGTCCGAATCATACCCCATGATTTCCGACCATTGATACCGAACCAAGAACAAAGTGTCTTCGGCGTCGATCGCGGCTCGCGCTTCAGCTGACCCTGGGGACCGACACACACGTTCGATTTTGCCGCTCTGCCAGAAGATAGGCGACACTCGATCGACCTCTCCTAACCCCAACTTTTTCCCCGACATCCCAATGAAAATTCCCTTCGTGCTGCTACCATCATGTCTGTTTTGAGAACTCGCATCAACCCAACAATAGAACTGAGGTTCTTCTTGGGGCTCAAATGGGAATATGTGCATGGGATCTTTCGCTGCCAACCGCATCTTGCACAAAAGACCATTGACATCAAGGAGCGTCTGTACAGTGCTGGTGTTCACCTCGGACAAAAACAGACTTGTGTATGCGACAAATCTGTATCCAACTTGGTTAGCATGCCAGCTCAGTGCTCCAAGCAGACCTCGTAATTCGGTCTTCTCTTCAGGAGTTGTCTCCTCTTTAATTTGTTTCTTTCTTTCTCGGGCGATTCGAATTTCTTGAACATCGCCCAAGTACTTGGTTTGTTCTAGAGAAAATCCACCGGATGGTGTGCTTTGCACATGAACTCCACACTGGACAAAATCATTGCATTCCCACTCCTGCCACTTAAATTTTTGTTGTATGGCTTCCTGGAGTGCTGTCCATTCAGGAGATTCAATTCCGGTGAAGAGGAAGTCGTCAACATGTCCCGAAATGAGAGCTAGTGTTTCACCTGCTCTCTTGTATCGCCACATACAAGGGTCGCTTTTGAGCTGCGAAAAACCCAGGCTCTTGAGAAACTGGTTCATGGTTTCAAACCACTCTATGGGGGCCTCAACTAAACCATAGCAAGCCTTGCGCATTTTCACCACACTTTGTGGTGCTAGGTTCATGGCTTCGCAGATCTCGACCGTCGGAATGAGGTACAAGTCCCGGCTGAACTCTCGGCCCTGTAGGAATGCTGCAGCGACATCTCCCTTCTTGACTTGACAGCCATGGTTTGATGCCCATTGGATAAGCATCTGTCTGCTATGTCGGGTCATAGTCGGTGCAAAGGTCGGTCTGTGCTGGTATTCAGGGTCCATGTAACCCAGGACAACTGCTCTCGCCTTCGGCTTGGAACTACCATCTTCGGAATGCTTCCAGGTAAGTACCCATCGCATTCTCAATGCCTGGTGCCTTGCCGGTTGTAGATGTTCCGGCAAAGCCTGAAGTGCTTCTGCCGCTATGAACTTGTCCACCTCTATCTTTTTGGCACCAGCGAACTGCTCGTGTTCCAGGGCTGACAAATGACGTTCCGACACTTCCACTGAACGTCGCTTCAAAGCACTCACGAAGTATGCCACTGGATTGTTCATGAAGCGCCTCAACTTTCGTTGGTCTGTGGGCAGTTCAAGAGTCAGTTCCACCGCAGCATGTGGGTTGTCCCAAGTGGTCCGCGTGTCCGTGGTTAGCCACGCTGACTCGGGCACCAATTCTTGCCACGAGGGTCCTGTGAATAGAGCTGCATCTTCACTGCGACTTGGCTTTGGACTTCTGCTCCGGTCTTGTTGACGTGACTGTTGTTGCTTGCCCGTGACTCGTCTTCGGTTTGTAGGGTGTTCTGTGTCATCCAACTCCTCCGGCTCCACCAGAGATCGTTTGTTCTCTGAGGGTCCAGGACCAGTATGGTCTTGAAAGGAGGCTTTGTGAAGGTCTCCGGCTAGGCTGTTGAAGGTCCACGGTAGTTGTGGTGGTCTGGTGAGTTCGTGTAAGCATGTCTCCCGCATGGAGGCGGGCCTCAGTTGTTCTTGAGCTACTTTCACGAGTCGATTGCCCCGCACCAGCCATACCACACTGCTTGCACGCAGTTGACCGTGTTCTTGTCGGGTCTCCACTGCCAGGACTCTCGCTGGACCCACATAGTTGCCTCGATTCCAGGAGTTTTGCCTTTCGGCGTTCCCCAGCTGTGTTCGCCAGTAGAATACCAAATCCCCTGGAAAGAAGTCTTTGTGAGGATGATGTTTCGAGTTGCGGGCTCTGGTGAGCTTCTCCTGCACTTGCCAATCAATGAATGCTTTAGATGCCTGTTGTCGCAACTGGGAGGCAACTTCCATCTCACCATCTGGAGACTGCATCATCTCCATTGGCAGGTCAGTGGTTCGTCGATCAAATACTCGACCTTCGATGTCTGGCTGCCTACCAATGGCATGTTGAAAGGGACTATACCCTCGCACGGTTTCTCGATGGTTCCAGGTGTAGATGGCGTGTTGGATCAGCTGTGTGACGTCTTGTTCCGCATCTCCGGCTGTCTTGGTGAGAAATTCCTTCACCCACTCAATACAGCGCTCCACATGAGAAAGGTTCCAGTGTGCTTCGGCTGGGATATGGTCCAGGTGGATGCCTCGTTCACTGAAGAAGTTCAGCATCTCCTCCGATCGGAAAGCTCCCTCTGGATCAGATCTTACCACATCCGGCATGCCAAAATATGGAAACCAGTGGTTTGTAAAGAGTTCAGCGTATTCGGAGGCTTTGACTCCTTTGCCTCCGTCCATCCGCATGACTTTGCCAACCAGGAAGCGACTTGCCTCGTCCATGATCAAACTGAATGAGACCTGCTTCTTGGAGATTGGATGCTTCCAGTATGCAGTGTCGATCTGCACACTGCGCCAGCGGTCAGTGTGAACTTCCAGATTGGCCTGACGTCGAGGATCAGGCCTCTTTCTTTCGTCACACGCGCTGCACCTAAAGGACTTCGCTATGGCAAGCACATGGGGACTAACCTGTCTCCTTTGGAGGGTTTTGAGCAAAAGTTCATAACTGCCGTGCCCAGTGGCACTATGTATTTTGAACAACTGCTTCAAAATGCGATCACGTTCCTCTCGGGACACTTGCTGTTCGAGAGGGGGTGCATCGTCCCCCGCAAAAACAAATTCACTCCATTCCTGCATGCAGACATGACATGTCAGTTCTTTCGTGATTTTGTGAACACGTTTACACCAACACCCTTGCTGTCGTTTAGGAGTGTGTGTTTCCGTTTCGCATTCGCTCGCTCGCAAGACATGAACATCCGAATCGAGAACCGACATATGGTACACCACCCGTCGAACGAACTCCGGAGTGTAAAAAGCGGTCATACGAGTGGCCTGTCCCTCACACAAAGCATGCGTTTTGTTCAAACAAGCACAAGTGTTATGCAAGCGTTCCGAGAGACGACGGTCGGTGCACTCCACTCGCCATTCCTTTCCCAAGGGAACTCCAGTTTTGGGGTCCTTCAAACCGACCTGGCAACCTGAAATGATGGCGGTAGAGGTGTTGCAGTGGTTTCTCCAGTCGTCTAACAAATCCCATTTCCAAGCCCTACATCGTCGACTCCACTCCCAACACACGACCGACCCAGCCGCATGCGCCCAGTGCGCCACCACGAGTGCTCCCACGTGTTGTTTTCGGGCGTCCATTTGTTTTCGTTTCAGGGCCTCTTGCTGTTCAGGAGTCCTTTGGTTACAGTTTTGAATGGGGGAAAAGGCGCCGCACTCGGTCGCAATCCACAAAAACCTAGGCTTCTTCTCACGAATGATCTTAATGGCCTGTTTCACCCCCTCGCCTGTGCGAAGATCGTACCCGTTCCAAACAGAACAACGCTCGGCAGTGAATCCCTTTTTCAAAGCTTCAGAGGTCAGGAGTGAGTCTGGTGAACATGCGAGTTCCATCAGAAACAGCCTTGAGGCGTCGCTTACGGACGCCCAGGCCTCTGAGAGGACCAACTCGCTCGCCTGTTCAAGGGACCTAAGCTTTTGCGGCGACAAGTGTTTCCACTCGTCATGGTGGCCTAGCCATCCATCTTCACGAAGCTCCCGTCGGATGCCACCGATGTTCCAGCTCGGGGAGGCGGCGTCTTGTGGCGCTTCTTGCCCTTGAGCTCGTCGAGCTCCTCTTGCATGGCTTTCATGGTTTCCATCATGTCCTTCACTTGTTCGGTCATCGCCGAGGCACTTGCCTTGGCATCCACATCCTTGCTCGATGACCCCGCAGCAATGGCCACTGTTGGTCGACTGTTGGTGAGGGCTGGATGATAGCCGGCCCCCTGGTTCTTCACTGGTGCCTGAGACTTCTCGAGAGGATTGTGTTCCATCCTCTCGGCCCAACTGGCGAGTTGTCGAAGCCGCCAATCCGCCGTGTCCGAGTTGCCCACCTCGGCCTGAGCCCAGCTGAGGTACCCCGGATCGTGTTGAGCCACTTCCATGAAGCTCATGCCCTTGTACTTTCCAAAGTCGATCAGTGTCTCGTTGTTGCCGCTGTGGATCAACCATGACTTGAGCATCAAGCGCAGCTCCCCCGCCGTGGCCTTGGCCGGATGTTCGATCTGGCGGGCCTGGCACATTGAGCGTAGCTCGCCCAGTTTTGCATTGTTGATCTCCTTGACAAGGTTGTTGGGAGCCCCCTTTGGCTTGATGATTCCCTGAGCTTCGCGAGACTCGCGAACCAGCATCCGGCATTCCGGAAGTGTGAACTCCGTCCATGCAATGCGCTTCTGACCATTGGCCTCGAGTTCCTGGATGCATTCCGTCTTGCTCAGCAAGTAATGTGGCTTCATGGACTTGTCCGGCCACATGGTCACCTGAGCCGCGGTTGCTTCCTGGGTGGTTGCCATGAGGACAAGCGTCAACGACAACGGGAGTGTGGTCACCGGTTTGGACACGTGAATCAGATGGCTGCGGGGACGTGTGGACATGCGATCTTTCATCCTGGCATTCGACGACCGAGCCTAACCTCACATCATGCTCATGAGTTTCACCAGTATCACCAACCTGTTTGGTTTCTTGGTTCACAGAAGTGGTTTCGGGCAAAATCAGCGTTCCTGTCTCTTTATCCTCACACTCAGACCCAGGGCGATCTGAGCTGAGTCTGCACCCCTATTCGGTGCTTCCTACGAGCTGGCGAAGACTCATCACACGATTGGCGAGAGTCATGCCACTTTCCAAAAAGTCCTGTGTCAATGGGATCAGTTGATGTCCCGTGGTAGAACGCTTGAGCTTCACTAAGGTACGGTCGCTGACCGCCGTGAACACCGCCTCATCGGTGCGAAAATCAATGATGGCGCCCAACTTGCGTAGTGTCGCGACTGACACGAGGATCGGAGCACTTCCCTGATCCAGGGCGTGCACCTTTAAAGACATTTGTTGGGCTTCCGTGGGAACATGTACATAACATGTTGACACACATTGACTACGCTCACTGTTGCCGAAACCAAACGTAGGTCGTTCTGACATGTCCACTCGCAGGACCCCTGGCAGGTTGAGGCGCCGGGCTTTATCCTGCAGCTGTTCGATGGCGTTCACGGAAGCCATCGTCTTTGTGGCGCCACCATCAAGGACACCATACCCTTCTCGCAAGACTTGATCACCCGGAATCAAGTCGGGTGAAGCTTCCTCCAGGTTGGTCCAGCAAAATGCTTCCGGTTTCACGCAGGCACTGTCAGGGAGGACCCCGTACACATACTCGGAGTGTTCAACGGCCTCATAGTTCTTGCCGTCCTCATTCTTCCTGGGGCAATGAGAGGTATCATGATCTTTTCCACAGCGAGCACACGGTCCTCCGGTTCTGGTTGAGCTCGTGGTGTTGTTTGGCCGTCGGTCCCCCATGCCTTTGCCCTTCCCCTTGGAGTAGCCCTTGCCACGATCTGCGGATGGCGCATAGAAGCGACGTCCCATCCGCACCTCATGCTGCTTGGCCCGAGCTTCGCGAAGGGTCACCCTCGCTTGCTGTAGTTGAGCCCAGGCCTCATGTTCTTCATGTTTAGCCTGTTGGTACAGGGCTAAAGCATCCTCGGGGAGGTCCTCGTAGAAGCTGGTGTCTTCTTCCCATGGCTCCGTCTCATCTTCTTCATTTTCATAGAGAGCCTGTTTGGCTTCTCCATCTCGCTTCTTGATGGTCTCATCAGTGAAGTGGCTCCGAAGGGCGACTTCAACGTTGGCGAGAGAGAAATTGTTCTTGACCTCGCTCTGAATCAGACTGCGCTCCATGCCGTCCAGGTTGGCCTTTTCCAGGAGAAGCCAACCCTTGATGACGTCCGGCAGGATCTCGACGAAATCTTCCTCATCATCTTCATCTTCTTCGGCGATGCTGGTATTGGACTGGAGGTTCCAGTTCCATGTGGTCTCCCACGTCGACCACCACCAAGCATCATCCCAGGTCCATTCGGTCTCATCCTGGGCTTCCTCACCATTGTCTTCAGTGGGCGTCGCCTCGGTGTCACCCTCGGTGGCAAGGTCCGATGAGCCCCCCCCTGTGGATGGCCTTGCCGTAGACACCGACTGTCTTCGTCCTGAGTGCCAGGCCTGGCTGGTCATGTCAGGAAGTGACTTTTGTTCTCGCATCACGCGAGTCAGGGCTTTGCAGGTCCGTGCGTACTCTTCCCGGTGTCTCACACAAAACGACACCATGGATTCGCCGCGGCGGCGCCGCAGCAGCTTGAAGTAGGTCTTGAGCTGGTTGGAGATCTCCGGAAGGGCTGGCTCGCTCATCGTCTCTTTCAAGCAGCGCAGAAGCTTGCCAACGCCATCCTGGGACGAAAGCCAGCCTCGCTTCTTGTTTGCTATTGCGGTGCGTGCCGCTCCAGTCAGCTCGGCTGCCAGCCTTGGACCACATAGGTAGCGACTTTCCCACTTCACCGTCTCCTCGTACATGTAGGCAGCCCTGCGGTACTCCGACCAAGTGGACGGAGTACCATCCCATGCAGGGATGCCATCTTTGGACTTCGTGACTGTCATTGGGCTCCTTCTCACTCACAACAGGTGCGCTTCAACGCACCCACACACACACCCTCAGGGCCCGATGCAGGCCCCCCTGGATCGCCGGCCTCGAGGAACTCAGCGCCTCGCCGCCCCACACCGCGCGTAACCGCAATGCAGAGCTCCGCTACCGTGCAGGACGCACGGCGGACACACCCTTTTCCACTGAACTAAGGGGGAGGCTTGTGCCATAGGTACCAATCGGAGAGTACTAGGGACACACAATCTATACAACTTGCATATATATATATTACATATTAATCAGCTTGATGGACACAATAATCGGACGACGGCATGTGAAGCTACTGACTGGGTCTCCGGTTCAACCCCGAAACAACCGCATCTAACTGAGGTTGGACATGGAAAACCTCAAAACTCATGAAAATGGGTTTGTCTTTGTGCAAGTCTAGTCTACAGTCTACGCCCTGAGATTACGCAAGTCTTCGCGCAACACAAGTCCACGCCCAACACAAGCAGTTAGGATAAAAATGTGTCTTGACCAACCCAACAGGATGCGATCCTGATTGGAGGACCACATCTCAAAGGCAACTGGGAGTCAACATCTATCAACAAATTCAAACTCCCTGGGAGTCAAAAACTACAAAAAGAATGGTTCTCACAATAAATAATGTGTGATCCTGAAGTCGGTCAATATATAGTCTTTGGACTGAACGTGGGCGCTGAACTTGGGTAGTGGATGATAGGGACTGCAACCACAGGCCTAAATCCATCTCAAAGAAAGCGTGATCATCCTGTACCGACTTGGGCTACGCACCCTACACTGACTGAACATCGGAAATTCTGCAAACATCATGTGATCCGTGATGATCCGCGGCTTCATGGTTTCAGCCAGACTCTACCACTGCGTCAATGCCAAGCCACTTGGTCTCCTCCAAGTTGTGCAACGAGGTCAGCCAGGTGACATCCGCACAAATCTGCAGCGCTCTCCGTTCAGTGCTCGACCAAACGACGTCAACGACGTAAACGACAACGAATCCAAAAAACGGGGTCCCCCGTCAGAAGGATCGAGGCTGGGCGGAGGTCGCACCAGGTCGCACCTTTGGCGACCAAGTGACGAAGATTTACGACGATCGGAGGCCAGGATTGAAACTGCCCGGGCTGAATCCGCACAGGCTTCTTAATGGCAGGGGTCGGACCTGACACCGTTGCACGCAGGGGGAAAACGGGGCCGGTTCCCAAACCCTATCTGTTTGAGGGTGGCCTGAAATTCGGTCTTTGTCACACCTACATCCAGTGACGTGAATTGAACGCTGTGCTTTGAAACATGAACTTGCAGTCGTGGCCAACTGCACCGAACATCATAGCCGTGCAGTCCCAGCACTGGCAATGCAACTATCCATGCTGCAAGAAACTCTGATACCAGGAGACCCGTTCAGGGGTGCCAATTGGTGGCTACTGGGGTGTCTATCAACCACCCGTTAGGGCCTTAGGGTCCAAACAACACCCCTTTCGGTTTTTTTCGCTGGTAGAGGTTGCCATGATCCGTGCGATTGATGACCATCGCGTGAATTCGTCTTGCTAGAAGAAGTGGTGTGCATGGTGAGATCAAACACCTCTCACCAGTCGCAAAGTAAATCTCAGGTGGAGATGAACTCTTGCATCAACACTGGCATCAAACAACCACAACCACCAACTATTTTAAACAGGTGGATAAACATGGACAACTCAAGCAACTTGTTTGCACCCAATCGTGCCCAAGCAATCTCTCTGCCATCTTTCTACCATGTTGGACCCTGAGCAAGAAAGGGGAGGAATTAATAGCATGTTCTCATGTTTTCCTGACTGAAAGTACTCACAACCCCTGAATAGCTTATACATGGGGGGTCAAAATGATAAAGAGTTTATTCACCTGAAAGCGTGTATGATATAAGCTGTTGTGATAGAAGCTGTTGTGCTTTCTATGTCAGCTTCCCTTTAAGATCATTGCTTAACTTCTTCTGAGGTTTTGCATGGGTAGCTCTATTCCTGAAACTCTGATAACTGTTCAAGACACTTCTTCAAACTCATCAAACTCACTGCTTTAAACCATTTTTTAAGGACCATAGTACCCTCAATCATCGTTTGGGGCAAAAGGTTTATTATCGGTAGTTCTCCACTGAAACCACCCAATTTATAGAAACATGATTCATGGTTTGTCATATTATGGTGTCAAACGTAGCACACAGATTCGGAAAGATCCTAATTAAGTGATCTGCAGTTCTCCACTTTCCCTGCTCCGGTTCCGGTCCATCCAAAGGAACTGCTCCCCCACCGACCCTGGTGGTGCACTCGCCTTTGCCACGAACAGCTGTCCCAGTATTAAGAGGAACGCGTTGCACGCGCGCTCGATGGGCGAGACCAAGATGTCACCTTCGCGCTCGATGGTTTGGACGGTTTAGATCGGACGTTTCAGGGTGTGTTTCGGAAGAAGGTCCAGGGGCGGAAGAAGTGAACGAGTTCAGATGAGTTCGGTCCAGAAATGCCATGCTGCGGTTCATGGCGAAGTTGTTGACTGATAGGACACCAGAAGTTGAATATGTGAGGACAAAAGCATTGAGGAATTTTGATGGAATAAGTATGACTCGGACAGGGTAGGTCCCCTGCAAGGAGATGCGTGTGGCACCTGCGTGTCGCACCCGAAAAGTGTGAAGGCACTGAGTTCGACGGTGTCTGGTACTGATCAAGCTCAGGAACTCTCCACCCGCACAGACCCTGAACCCGCGGAACCCGACTCGGACCAACCTGAGACATCTGAAAAGACGACCCGTGACTAGTCCTGACTGGTCTGACCAGCAGGGGTTTTCTGTTGCTGGACTTCGGATAAAGGTCAGGCCACAGGCCGGGAGAAATCGATCAACATCAGCGATTCCACAAGTGCTTGCCATTGACAGGCGCGGAATCTGATGAAATCGACGGCTACTCACAACAGGTAAAAGGCTAGCAGTGGTTTTGAGGTTCTATTTGATTCTATGCTGCTACGATGCAAAATGTTCTGGATTCTTCAATTTTCCGCTGCTTTTGGGGTACATGGGAGGTTGGCCTGTCCCTCCTGACCTGTCTCCCCACGTCTGGCGCTCTAGAGTTGCCCCAAGCAGTCAAGCGGCCATAGCCCACGGACGTGATACCTGATCGAGGCGAGAGCCATCAGCACACCAGGTGTGCGAGACTTGTTGTCAACACGACAATCTACGGCAGGGTTTACCCATGGATGACCCTTCCCTAGGGCTCCAACCATCTCCTCAGGTTCGGTGGTTAGACCCCCCTGGCACCCACCCCAACCATCTCCTCAGAAGGTGGGCCAGGAGCCCTAGGGCTTAAACAAAAAAACACTTATGTGCAAAACGTGATGGTCCTTCTTCTCGGTCTCAGCTCTCTTACTCTCTTCTCAGTGTGTTTTCAGCGCTCTTTTGGCTTTCTGTGACCGGTCTGGGGTTGAGCTCTGGGCTCCGGGCTTCACAGCTACACGTGAATATTAAACTAGCCCCCAAAGAAACGATCTGATCTGCTGGGGTAGTTTGGGGTAGAAAATGCATTGCCAACTTACGTCACAAAGCTGCTGAGACATGAACAGTCAGCTGTTGCCCAATCGATTTGTAAACCAAAGCATATTGGCATATTTAACAGTTTAACTGTTTAACTTAAACATAGCACAAACGTCCAGCAGTCTTCCCAATAAACGTCCGTCCCCCTTGAACCGTCCCCATCGCAGAGTCGTGATCTGAGTTGTTGAGTGAGTTCCGCAAACCATCGGTGGTGAAACGCAGGACCCAAGAGGACCCATGACACACTCTCCCATGGCCATCTCACTAAGGATCATGGCCTGGGAATCATTGCCCTGCACATGCGACGAATCCAACTCTAGGCACATGCGACATTGCTCACTGGCGCCGTCTTCACTTAAGAAGACCGATATTGATATAATTGACAGAATATTAATGTTCTTTTCTTGTCCAGTGGTGCTGGATGGACTTTGTAAGTGTTCTGACTCATATGTGCTGCCATTATGGCCAAATCCCTGCGAAGAAAAGCTGAATCACCTGCCGGGGAGCTGAGTGCGGTAAAGTACACCGATTCGATGTAGACCACTCCGCAGTCTTCGCCTCGATTCACCATGTCGTCGATCCAACCTGAGTGGATCAGGAAGGTTGGCTGTTTGGCTCCACTTGTGTGGAATATCATTGAATGTTTACCTGCATCGGAGTTGCTTTTAAAAATGCTTTGAGGGTGAATTGATGCTCCGTCAATTGATGCTCCACGGCATCATATGGCAATGTGACAATGCCTATAGGTCCTGTCTAGGATCTAGATCCTCCAACTGTGCACCATGTTCATCAATTTTCCACCGTTTCGCCTCTAAAACGAGCCAACCTTTGGCAGTTAAAAGAGGTGCATGGTGCAAAAAAACACCAACGGCCGCCGCTGTGAAAACCGCGGAAAGCACCGCAGCGCCGCTGATCGAAGCGCGTCTGACAGGCCCAGGGCACTCACCACGCCCGCAGCCCTCTCGTGGACTGCCAGGACCAGCAGCCTGAGGACCCAGGCGCCAGTAGTTCTCCAGGGTCGAAGAAAAATGAGTACAAGCCAAATGAGTGGATGCCAAGAAGAAGTACCAACCTCAGAGCCTTCTGTTTTGAGAGGATGTTTGTTTGGCCATATTTTGGATGGTTGGTTGGTCCAAAAATAGAGGCAGGTCTTAGGACTATAGAAGAGGGCGAGTATATGAGATACCCTCGCTCTCTCCTATAGAAGTGGACGTCCTGATGCTTGGAAAGGCCAGGTTGTGCACGTCCATGTTTGTTGCAGGGAGGGTGCAAAATGGTGCACACACAGTACAGCATCAACCAACACGTTCAACAATGAAATAAATCATGGCCATATCTGCACTGACCCCATTCATCCTCTGCTCTGTCGTACGACTGGAGGACTAAGAGTCAGCAAAGTGCAGGAACATCAGTTCTTTGTTCAAAACATGTCAAAGGGTGGCCTTTGGTTGCGATCTTAAATATGTCCAACAACAAGAACATGACAAGAATGGAGCGGTGAATCTGTAGCAAGCAATGTCCAGAGGTGGAAGGGGATGGTGAGCTGCTCTCCATCTCCAGCGGGCTAGTGGGTTTGAGTCCTTTAAATGTGCGCAATCGTAAATAGCCTGGATCTCATCTGACCAGCTTTTGAACACCAATCACATGTGCACAGTTTGGACATACTAAGGCCTTGGAAACCCTTCCATGTTCCATTCATCTTTACTGACTGGCTGCCAAATACTGGAATCCTCCACTCGAAGTGAGTTTCATTCTTTTCACTGCACCCATTTATCCCCTCCCCTCCCGACTCACACCAAAGCAAAAAGTTCACTCTCCTCGCATCCTCCCAGCCAGGGGGGCACAATCGCCGCAGTATGAGAGAGAAAGACCAACCAAAGAAAGGAGCTCACGACCCCTCTGGCATAGGAGTCGGCGCGACTATCCCTGGGAGAGGACGTTCGGAGCGCGGTGGTTCGGTTGGTTCACTGGAGGGACCGGAACAAAGCCGTGAAGGACCATTTGTCTGGCAGAATCCCCGATGGTTGGTGGTTGATCTGGACCACTGTACCTGGGGCATGTGAGGGCACATTGCACCAGTTGCCGGAGCCAACTCCATGTTATAACTACCAAAGTGGAAATTGATTCATTGTGGTGTTTAAGGTTGGTGGTCTCCAACCACATGACCATGAAATCACAACATGTTTCCCTTCATAAAATCTCATATGATTTCATAGAAGTCCTCCAACAACGATCCCCCAAACTCTTGTCGACTTCATCCTACATCAACGCTTTTATCCACCGAGCAAATATAAAGCAAAAGCACTCGAGTTTCCAGCACGGCCTTCACCTGGATCAACTTGAGGTCTTCCAAGGACGAATTCAACCCGTGCCCCCCCTTGCTCCCCAGCAACCTTTGCGTCCAAGGTGCAGCACCAGCACGGTGGGCAAAAGGAATCGCCACATTTTCGCCTTGGTAGGACTAACACTATCCCGGCAGGACAACAGGGTGAAGTGCAAAACACACATTCTTTTGCGACAGGTTGATGTTCCTTTGTCCTTTTTCCCTTGGGCCAGGGAACAAGGCTGCGGAGTTGAGCACGGCGGACAAAGTCAGCATTTTCCTCCACCTATGCAGCACCCACCGTCGCAACCCAAGGCTTCTTCACCTGCCTGTGGCAGCTCCAGCACACACAAAAAGGCCTACAAGAGTGTCCTACGTGATTTGGAAGAAGCCACAAGAGTTTCCCACGAGACTGTCCCACAAGAGTGCCCTGAAAGAGTGTCCCACAAAGGTGCCCTAAAAGAGCGCCCCACAAGAGAGTGTCGCACAAGAGTGCCTTACAAGAGTGTCCCACAGGAGTGTCCCACAAGCGTGCCATAAAAAAAGGGTCCAACAAGAGTGCCCCAAAAGAGTGTCCCACAAGTGCCCGCCAATGCCTTACAAGAGTGCCTTTAAAAAGTGTCTGATAGGAGTGACCCACAAGAGTGCCCTGAAAGAGTGTCCCACAGGAGTGCCTTACAAGAGTGTCTGACAGGAGTGTCCCACCACAGTGTCCCACAAGAGTACCCTAAAAGAGTGTTATACGGGAGTGCCATACAAAAGTGTCCCACAAGTGCCTTACAAGAGTGTCCCACAAGAGTGTCAAGCAATGTTTGGGCGTTTGTTTTCGAGTGCGTGTGTGCATTCGCAAGATGGAGGTTCGTGGGCTCCATCTTCTTCGCCAGCAAAGAACAGGACCTGAGGCTGTCCGGAAGGGGCTAAGCCATTGGTCCAGTCCTTGCAGGATCTGTCTGGTTGTCTTTTCCTGCAAGAGGTGGGCGGCAGCCCACCTCGTGCCTTGATCGATCATGTGCAGGAGGGTGCGCATCTTATCATAGAACACCCAATCACCGTCTGCTTCAACATTGAAGCCTGTTACAATGCGCGAGCTTGGAATGATGGGTTGGGTCCAAAAACGGCAGATTCTACATGTGTCAACCATGCCGTCTATCAGATCGAGGGTTGCCTTGGGAATGCCGACCTGCAACACGGCTGCTTTCACGCGGTCTGCTGAGATCTGCTAGCAACTAAGGCGTCTTTGACCATCCTCTGTGGCGAGCCTGGTGCCCTTAAAGCCTTGGAGACGAGCCTATATATATGTCGAACGACGACCAATCATTTGGCACTGGAGTTTGAGCCTCTAACTCACCTCTGCAAACACCGGTTCTGGGACGATGTCATTGCATGATGGCAATCCGGACCAAAATTATGCTGTTCACTTGAGCGTGGAAGGCCTTTCATGCATCCTGGGCACTTGTACTCAATGGCGTCTACGTCTGGATGTGTGCATTCTCCACGAATCCCGCTGTGGTCAGCATCGAACCTATCTGGAGTCTTCTTCATCTTCTTTTGGAGCTTCTGAGGTGTGTGTTGCGACAGTTCGAAGTTCATGCCTTCTCATGATCACTCCTGGCATCGGTGCCGACGTTGCTGGACGTCCTCCTGGCACTTGGTGATCTCAATGGTGGGTTTCAAGCAAGCTCTGACGTGGCATCCTTGTCGTGCTGGGTGTGGTGCAAGGCCGCCGTCTGGCTCTCTGCGTCCCAGGCAAACGCTGCTTCCCGGGATTTTGGAATCCTTGTTGCGAATCTAAGACCAGTTGCATCAGTTGCTCGATGAATGCAATCTGGTCAATTTACTCTAAATTCAAAACGGTTGCCTCAGCTTAAATCTACTTTTTACCTCTGATTAAATCTGCAGTCCTCGCCTCGTTAAATTCAAACAGACTTCACCCCTCGTCCCAATGCTTCTGACTTGAACTCGAGATAAAAAATCATTTCGGGCTTAAAGTGTTTTCCTCACGGGGTCTGAATGGACACCCTTTCTTTTAGATCACACTGATGGCTGAATGTCACAGCGATAAGACAACGCGTAGAGGCGTTAGAGCTGCAAAAGGAATGGTTTGCGCCAAAATGATCAAAGACACAAAAGCTGAAAAAAAGACCAACTTCTGGATACCGAAAAGTTTCTTTTCACTCGTTACACCCGCGTTCAAAGCAATATCTGCCAGACCTCGTTTTCTGAATCATAAGATAATTCACCTCGTGCGAAGCGCACTGGAAGCTTTTCCACCGCAAAACGAAAGGTAAAAACATGCTAGTGAAACTTGTCTTGAAATCTGCTTGCTTTGCTTCTTCTCGATTTGTGTGTGTCATCCGCATTGCAAGCGGGCTGAGAGTTCCTCGGGGCCGTGATGCAACATGGTGTGCTATCGGGGCCGCTTTCCTCTGGGCCGGCTATGTAGCGAAACTGCTTTGATCAACATGCATGCCTGGACATCTTCACACTGGTGTTTTCTTTTCTTTGATCAAAGCTCGCTTTCAGCTGATTCCTCAGCTTGTTCGGCCTTCACTTCAGCCGCTAGCTTCTGCCTTCGAAGCTTTTGCCTCTCTTCTTTCTGGCCATCTTCAGCTTTCACCTTCTTTCTATTCTGGCGTTCTGTCCTTTTCTTCTCTTTGAGCTGTCGGTTGAGCTCGTTCTGAACTAGCGAAAGCTTTCCTGTTCTAAGGAACTCACGGAGCATAGTTTTGTCTGCTCCCATCTTCGTGAGGACATCGGCAATGTTCTGCATGCCATCAATCCACCTCACATGTGCTCCATCCTGTCGGACGGTTTCTCGAAGAAGAGCTCCTTCTATGGCCATCCTCTTATCTGAAGAGGTGCTGGTGCTGTCTTTCTCCAAGTAGTCGTAGACAGACTTGGCGTCGGTGACATAGACGCGCTGTCTTCTCTTGATGATCTCGGGCCAATTCTTCAGGTCGAGTTCTCCGGTCAAGGCCTCTTCTAAAAGAACGATCATCCAATCACCAGCTTCTACTGCTTCAGCCAAGTGGCTGGCCTCTGCGGCCAAAGTGCTTCTGCAAACACGCTTCGTGGTGCCGGAGTGAAAACTCAAAACATTGCAGCGAACTTCATCCCCATGTAGAATGCCGGGGTTTGCTATCAGGATGAAAAATCCTCCAACAGAGCGGAACTTCTTATCTCCAGCTTCATTGTTGTTGGCATGGTCGCTATCCGACAACATGACCATCACACCTTCAGCCAGGTTGACGTCGGACCAGTATCTCATCCGAAAGTCAGCTGCGCGTTTTGCTGCACCTAGGTACCCCTTCAACTTCAGGAGGTCTGCTATGCAAGGGTCAGCCTTGCACCTTTGGGCACAGCCGTTTTCAAACGCTAGGTCGCACCGTAACTGGCGCGAAAGCCATCCAAGCTCTCCAGCTGAACTGTTCAGCACTTCCTTCTCCTCCTCCGTCAGGCTGGACTCGAGCTGCTGCCGTCTTTCCTTCTTGAGGTTGACAGGCTTGAGAGACAATGCATAGTTCTTCATCATCACATCGATGTGTCCCTCAGAAGTCTGTCGAATCTCGCGACCTCTGAAAATGAAGTCGTGGACGTGGTTGGTTGCAAACTCAAGGGCAGCTGAGGATTTGGCAAAGGCTCGGTTGAGCCAATCCTCTTGAACTCCTCCTTCGAGGTCATCAACATGTGTCACAAGCACACCTCGAAGTCGTCCGCCTTCTCTCAGGTAGAAAAGTGCAGGTTCCAGCTTGGACTCTTGCCATCCATCAGCTAAGAGGTGCTCACGTAGTGCCAGCCAGAAAAGTCGGGCCGACTCTGCAAAACCATAAATGGCTTTATGAGCCTCCAGCAATTGACCAGGTCGTACTCCAGGGAGACCTCCTCTTGGAGGATCAAGATAGACCTCGCGTCCGAGGCGCTTGCCACTGAAATAGGCATTCTTGATGTCTTTTGCCAGGAGCACAAAATGAAAATGAGCGACCAGGGCCAAACAAATGGATTCTGCTGCTGCTGACGCTGTTGGGGCGTCCCTCCTATAGGCACCAAGCATCTTGTCCTTGAATCCTTGCACGACCAGTCGGCTTTTCGCCTGAAATTCTTTTCCAACAATGCCTTCTGACTTGTTGGTTCGTACCCATCGCGTCGGCACGATCAAGTCGGGGCTGTCTCTGCGGATCTTTTGTGATCTCTCCAAATCAACAACTGTGCAGGCTTCCTTCTCGAGCCAGGCTTTCCATTCACGGGCATCTGAACCATCAGGTCCAGTGAACAAAAGCTGCTTGTCCTTGGGAATCTCATTCAGCTTCAGCTCTTTCCTGCCCTTCTTCTTGACAGGTGTCGTGGTTTGTCCGCTTTGGAAGGCATACTCGGCAAGCACTGCATACTTGTCGTCAAAAAGGTTGCGATGCACTGCAAACATGAAATCACTTTGCGAAACACGGTGCTCCAAATAAAACTCTTCATGCAAAAAGTACTGTTGGCGTGCTTCTGTGTTCAAAAAGTGCTGGGACTCCATGACCATGTATGCACGCAAAGGCTCTCCAACAAAATCCGCACCTTCCGATGCCTTTTCGTCAGCTGTGAGGCGAAGTCGTTTGGCCTCACGTTCTGCAGCCTCTGCATCAAACTCCACCACAGGGCTCAATTGTCGTGTCGGGCGTGTGTGGTAGTCGTCAAGGTCAGGGTCGAAATCTGAGCCTGCTGGGATCGAGCTTGCTTCTGCTTCCATGGGCTTGGAGGTGATGCCCATGTCTCTCAGCTTCTGTTCTCTCTGCTTTCTTCTTTCCTCAGCCTTGCGATTGAAGAAATCGCTGCTTTTGATCGCTCTTTTGGCGTCTCTTTCGGACTCATACTTCATGCGAGCCATGGAAGTTGAGCTCGCACTCAAGTCTTCTGAACTCGGTTCTTGAGCAGGTGGTTCATCTTGAAGCGGCACATCTTCACGAGGTGCCTCCATCGGCTCATCGGGGATTGAAGGTGTTGGCTCCAAATCAAGCTCTTGCTCACCTTCGGGTAGGTCAGGAAGCTCTGGTAGCTCTGGTGCAGAAAGCTTTGGAAGGTTCGAAAAATCAGGTGGTGCTGCTTTCCTCAAATCCAGAAAACCTGTTCCTCCAGCGGCAGGGACAGCATCAATGAGGTCGGTCTCGTGGTTCACATTGATCCACTGTTGAATCTCTTCCTCATATGCTCTGCTCAAATGCTCAGGAGAAACTGCTACCAAAATACCTCGGTGTGCTAACCAAACTGTGCTGCTGCCTTCATGACCAATCACTCTAGCGACTCCTCTCCAGAAACAGGGGCTGCTTCGCTTGTCGGCTGAATCCCAATAGAAAACATAGGTGCCAACAGGGAAAGGGCCTCGTGATGGCCGTGCTTTGCGAAGTTCAGCTCGGCGAAGTGCCGAATCATTGGCAGCTCTGGCAAAACTCTCACGTGCTTGCATCCTGATAACATTCTGTCTGTAAAAACGTGTACCAGGAGTTTCAGCTAAAGATTGTGCACTGAGCCGTCCAATCTCTGAATCATCGCTCAAGGCTGCAGGAAGTCTGACATCTCGGCCAATCACCCATTGAGATGGTGAGAAGCCGTGCTTGCGAGCCATCGAGTTCTTCGCTGCTGTAGTAGCTGCTGTAGCCATCAAAACTTCTTCTCTGCCTGCAATCTGTTGCGCCCAAACAAGTCGCTTGAACGTGGTTTTCCAGAGTCCTCCATGTCGCTCCACTTGTCCAATCTGCCATGGACTAGCTTTAGCAGCTGTGGAAAAATGACATCCGTGGCTCGAGAACTCCTCCGAAAGCTCTGCTAAAAAGTACTTGGCTCGGTCGCAAACAATGCCACGCTCAGGAAAACCTGCCCAGCTGCACCAATGTGAGTTGAAAGCTTCAAGCAAACATGCTCCAGTTGGATTCTGGTTGGTGTCGGGCAGCAAGGCACAAACCTGAAAGGTGGTTCCTTGGCAAAGGATGTTCAGCCAAGACCATTGGTGTCCTTGAGCATCACTTTCAGAAAACACATCCAAACCAATTTGAACATTGAAATCATGCACTGCAGGAACTTTGGAAGGTCGTGGTTCTTTGGGATGTTCATGCATTCTGGGGCAATCTTCACAACGAAAAAGGCGTGTGGCCTTGACAGCTGTATCTGAGGCTTTGGACATCCTCAAACATCGCAGCATAGTCTGCACATCAGCGTGTCCCAGATTCACATGAATGCGGCGTACCGCCAGCTTCAGCTCACGTGGTAGAGCTTGCCATTTTCGAAGTCGTTCCTCCTCCTTGGCTTGGAAGCGGTCATCCACCTCCATCTGCAAACCTTCTCCGAGCTCGTTTCCAAACAGGACCAAGTAGAGGCGACGCTTCTGGGCAATTAAAGGTCTCACTTGTGAAGCTGGGGCCATCTTTTGCCACTCTTCCCAAGAAGTTGCGAGGACCTTGCCATTTTCAAGCAAGAGATAGGACCGTCGGAGCGGAACTTCCAAGGGTCCAGCAAAAGGCTGAGGCTTTCTCATCCTCTTGGCGGTCTGCGAGGTCAGGATGAGTTTGACTTCTGCTTGTGCTGACTCATGTGCGACCCATTGTTGTCCAAGGTCGCTTTCTAGGTCAAGTCGTGACCAATCTTGTAGTTCTTCTGCTATGACGTGCTCCAGAACTGCATTCAAAAGGTCTTGTGGTTCCGGTTGTGAAAGCTCTTCCCAAAAACCTCTTTGGAGTTGTCTAGTCCTGGTTCTACGCCTCTTCAAGGTGTTGCCATCTCCAACTTGTCCAGGAGTCATGGGAGCGGGTTGGAGTGCTTGTGGTTCAGCGGCCTCAGTCAAAGTTCCAGGAGCAATTTGGAACTCGGTCTCGCCGGTCCACTCTTCCGTCATCATTTCTGGCTTGATCTTCCACCAATGACTCTGGTGTGAAGCCGTTTGACCATCTCCGAAGACCATGACGGTTTGGCGCTCATCCAGCAAGGTCTCAAAAGGAACTGGCAGATCCATTGAAGCCACCGGCACAAAAAGCAATCTCCTCGGCACATTGTGAATGCGAAGAAGTCTGTCCTCCTCCAACTTCCAACTGTCGCCGAGGTCAATCTCTCTGTCTTGGAGCTCGTACTCAATGTCCTCCTCATCAACAAGGGCATAGGCATGTTGAGCCGTTGAAGCCATCATGACCTTGTAATCAAGCTGCATCTGCTTGAGAACTCCATTGCAAATGGCCTTGCACAGAGGCCGTGGATATTGAGCTGCTTGCTTGGAACGAAGGCCGTCTTGGTTCCGACCAACTAGGGGCTGGTGACTGCCCCAGCGACAGGTGCACTTTCGACCAACATGGTTGAGGATCACCTCGGAGTTGCAAAGCCATCCAGTTGGTTTCCGGATAGGTCGAAAGCTCTGGGAGTCTCTGCATCCAAAAGGGCATTGGTCACCAGTGACAAACTTGCCACCGGCATGCTCCAAGAGCTCTGCTAAAAGACCTTCATGGACCCAAGCGTAGCTGCCAGCCGGGTTCTCAATGAGATAGTATCTGCCTCTTCGGTGTTGGATCTTGCAAATCTTGACAACGAGCTTGAGGGTCACCTTGCCGATGGTCTCTCTCAAATTTGCCCACGGGTGACCGGGAGACATGTTGGTCAACAAACTCCAGATCCGGCAATCGAAGGCGATGAGGACCAAGTAGGGAAGGTGGTCGTCCAACACTTGATACAGTAGTCGACGGCCTGAGGTCGAGAGCAAATCATAGCCGTCTCGAAGGTCCATTGGTTGGGAGTTGGTCCAACCGTAGTCTCTGGAAGCAACTCTTGTTGTGCCAAAAGAACCTGCGAAGGGCTCGAAGATCACGGTTGTCTTGAAGTCAAGCGTACAGAACTGCTCTGCAAGTGTATAGTGGCGCTTGAGTGCCGCCCACATCCTCTCATCGGCAACCTGGATGTGAAGGGCTGCATTCTTCAACTCCTCAACTCTTCTCTCGGACATCTGTCCGGTTGGGTCATCAGGGCGGATGCCCCGTTGCTGAGTGCAAGCTTGTAGAACTCGTCCTTCAGGAGGTTGCCATTCTGGTAGTCCAGGTTGTCCAGCAAGAAGTGTCATCTGAGCTTCCTCACCATAGTAAACAAGCAAATCTTCACGCTCAGAGACAATGCGAGGTTCTCGACTTGTAGAGGGAAGTTCTTCAGTCTGGACTGCGGCCTCAGGGTCAAAGGCGATGTCAATCGCCAGGTGTCTTGACTTCGTGACCAGCATAGGGACTTCCAAGTCGAGCTTGCGCACCTGAACAACTTGCTCCTTGAGGTGTATGACCATGTCCAAGGCCGACATGGCCGAGATGCTCAAAAGCAAAGGTGTCATGCCCTGCTCAATCTCCGCACTGTAGACCTCACCCTGGTACCCCTTGATGAAGATGGGAATCTTCCAAACAACTGCCTTGGCTTCTGTAGAGGAACCATTGGCGAAGTGAAAGGACTTGCGGATGGGCGTTTGAGTGCACCTCAAGTTCTCCGGCAACAAGCGTTCATAGCTTTCCCTCCATCGTCGACTGTGCATGCAGGCCGTGCAGGCCGTGTCGAGGAGGCACAGTCTGGACTCATCAAGTTCTCCTTCACAAACTGCAGGTCCAAAATGGTGATGCTCCTGCTGTTGTGAGTCTATTGAATTCTGAAAAAACGCGGTGGTCTGCGGCATTGGGCTCATCAACTAAATTCTCATGCAATCCACCTTCTCCAAGTGCATAGATGCCGAAGGTGGGTGAAATCTCTTTTACCAAGGTGCTAGACGCCTCCGCCCTTGAAGGGGCGGCAGTACTTGGCCTCATCATCATGGGCCCTGCTCCAATTGTAGTAGTCGGCGTCCACCTCAATAAGCTTCCGCGTGCCTCGGCAGCCAGTAGGCTGGCTATAGCGCGAGCAGCCGAAGAAGAGACCTCCATCATCTCGGTTGCGACGAATTGCCATATGGTTGCCACAAGTAGGACAAGGGACATTCGGATCTGCCTTGCCCACACGATCGACTGGAACAGCGATGCCCGTCCGGCTGCACATGACGAACTCTTCACGAAAACGGGCTGCCCTCTGCTCTGCCTCGTCCCTCCGAAATCCATGGCTTGGATCTTGATAGCCGGACTTGCCGAAGGAAGCTGCAGGAATCTGGTCGTTCTCAAGCTGGTAGTCATTCGGGTCTTCCTTCACAGCATAGGCAAAGTCCTTGGAGCGGCGAAGCTTCTCAGGCATGGGCTTTGGTGCCAACTTTGTCTTGGGCTTGACCACTGGCATTTGTCCATCAGAACTTGAGCTCGCAACTTTCCTCGGGGAGGTTGTGGATGATGGTCGATCAAGTCGAAGCTGCACGAACTGTTTGGTGCATCCCTTCTTCTGGATTGGCTCACCAGCAAAGAAGCGCATCAAGCGCGCCTTCATGTCACTCTTGTTGCCGCTGGTGAGGATGCCCCAGGATTCACATTCGGCCTGAAGCTGGTAGGCCTTCAACTCATGGAGCTTCTTCGGCGTGACCTCCTCGAAGCTTGGGACTAAAAGAACCTTGATCTTGTCTGAGGGCACAGTCATCTCGATCTTGACAGGGACATCATCGGCCTCAGACACATAGGGCTCGGGAATGGCCGTCATAGAAGCGTAGGAGGTGCTATCAAACTCCACTGGCTCAACAGCTTCCCAATCAGACTCCGAAGGTGGAGCCCGGGCCTTCTTTCGACGTGCATCCAGGTCGGCATCGTGCATCTCATCGGTGGTCTCATCGTCATGAACCATGTGGCAAAAGGCATCTTCCTCGTCCATCTCACTTCCAAGGCTGAAGTAACGAGGGCCTTCTTCAACGTAGAAAGCTTTGCCACCGGTCTTGCCTTTGCTCTTGCCTTTCCCTTTGCCTCCACCAGATCGCTTGCCGTCCATCTTCTTGGGGCCACTCTTGTGTGACTTGCTGCAAGCTGCATCTCCAGCCCAATGGCCAACTCGGCCGCAGGCAGCGCATCTGGTCCTCTGCTTCTCCCTCTGAACAGCTGCCTTGCGCTCCTCCAAACTGATCTCGCCCTTGAAGTCGCCGCGGAAGAAGCCACGATTTCGTTGAAGTTCCTTCAACTTGTTGCGACTGGCTTGATACGAGGCGTAGGCCTCATGGACTTCATCGTCATCGCTGGCTCCAAGGTCGGAGGGTGGATCCTCCTCTTCCTCCACAGCATAGCTCTCTTCAGGGTCAAAGAGCTCTTCAGGATCATAGATCTCGTCAAAATTCTCGACATTCTCAGGAACCTCAGACTCATCCACAAGGTTGGCATAGTGTTTCTTGTACTTGGGCTGGTACTGGTATCCAGCCTTCTTTGGCCACTCACGTCGGCCCTCTCGCTCGTGGATGTCATGGAACGAAATGCGAAGCGACTTCTCGATGCCTTCAAGGGTGTAGTCGGACTGGTTGGCCAACAACACTTGCCTCCGATCTTCTCGGCTCAGCGAGGCATGCTTCAACAGAAAGAAGGCTCTCAGGTCTTCGCTCATCATGGTGTTCTCCGTGAGGTCGATGAGGTCGTTCCATTCCTGAGTGCGCTTGCGAAGCCAGGAGTCGATGCTTTGGCCTTTGTGTCGCTGACACTTTTCAAAGAACTGCTCGAAGGCTTCGGTCTTCCGGAGCACAGCTGCCTTCTCGATGGATTGCCGGGCACGAAACACATGCTTGTAGCCGTCCTTCTCCCGGAGCTTGTCGTTCTCACCAAGAAGGCTTTGGCATGCCTTCCACGCTTCTCCATGAAGGCTATCTAGGAGCTTCTTTGCGAAGCGAGATTGGCGCTTCTCAAGATCTTTCTTCTCCTTCTCCGGGGTGTCACCATCGCCTTCCAAGTTGTTGTAGGCGAAGAGAACTCGACGGCGGTATTCCGTCATCAGGCCAGGGACTGCCCCACTATAGTGGGGGATACCATCTTTATCCACCACCACTTCATCATCTCTCCAGAAGGGGCGGTGATCGCCCACCGAAGACGTCATGGCACGCGGGAGCCGGCACTGGTCGCCGGCTCCGCTACCAGTGCGAAGCGCACTGGAAGCTTTTCCACCGCAAAACGAAAGGTAAAAACATGCTAGTGAAACTTGTCTTGAAATCTGCTTGCTTTGCTTCTTCTCGATTTGTGTGTGTCATCCGCATTGCAAGCGGGCTGAGAGTTCCTCGGGGCCGTGATGCAACATGGTGTGCTATCGGGGCCGCTTTCCTCTGGGCCGGCTATGTAGCGAAACTGCTTTGATCAACATGCATGCCTGGACATCTTCACACCTCGCTTAAATTACAAAGGTTCAGCCCTCGTTCTAAATTGTGCGGAATGCAATCATCTGGCAGTGGTCTTCGCCATTTCGAGACGCTCGAAATGAGACCCTTGAGACCCTTGAGAGTGTGCCAATTGGCCCAACTTCGTCCACTCCCAAACACAGGACACCCCGGTTCACCCTCACCACCCCCCGCCTTGATTGGCGCCGAACCCAACCCGAACCCCGAACCACCCCGGGTGCGTCCCGCGGTGCGTCCCGGGCCGACTGCCGACGCCAAAGGCACACCATGGAGCAACATCATCCACAGCGCGGCGCTCGGCACCTCAACGGTGTCCCGGAGAAGGGCGGAGACTGCCGCGGTGTCTGACCCTTTTCGGAAGGAGGTTTGAACGGGTTCCCCAGAATTTCATCCCAAGCATGGATTTTCCGGGCGTTCTGTCGGGTTATGTCCGAAGCAGCGGCATTGTTTATATCGCGTACACTAGCTATAGTCAATTTCTTTACATTGTTTTACGGACTTTGGACTACAAAATTAAGGTCAACCTTTGTTTTGGTCGAATGGAAGGCTAGGGAGGTTGCTTTGACAATAGTCCTCAACATTCCTCAACAATCCAAAAGAGCAAGTCAATAAGCGAACCGTGGCGGCACCAACGGTGGCCTCTCAGGGCCTGACTCAGGGTAGCAAAATCTACGTGATACAAATCCAGATCCCCTGAAAAAAATTGTCCAAAACTACATGCATGTTCATCACAGTGTTCGATCCGTGCCACACTGAGTGCTATAAGCTTTTAAGATAATTCAGTGGTTTCCATCTATTTGCCACCTCAGATTGACCTCACACAAAATAACCATTCGCCTTTCAGATCTTTCAGTGACCACATCCAAAAAATCTTCGAACTCCAAATGCCTCGCACACCTAAACCCTTCTTCAAGCGACGCACGGATGCGTCCCTCTTCGGCCATCGTTCGCCGCCGAACCCCGACACCGTCGACCCACCGCGACCGTTCGACCCCGGTCGAAGGTGCCAATCCAGCCGACTCGCCGAGGTGGACCCACCTGGGAGCGGCGAGCGCGAGAGCCCAAGAGCGGCCCAAAGGTGGACCAGGTGAGTCGGGTGAGTCGGGGGTGGGTGAGAATGATGAAGACCTGGTGAAGAAGGGGGTTTTCCTGGACCTGGAGGTGCCGAATTTAGAGTGGTGGGCTGGGGCGGCAACAGCCAGGTGACCCCGACATGAAGGTGCTGTGTTTGTGGCAAATTAAGGCATCTATATATACATCTATAGTAGGCCTGAAAGTCCTTAAGGCTTTGCGGTTGAAGAAATGGTGTGGCCAAAAAGCATACATATATGTTTTGTTCTGGAAGTTCATCTCCGAATGCTGCAAAGATCAGCAATGCATAGCAATGCTATTATCCCTGACCTGGGCTTGCCGAGTGGCTCTGCCAGCGTGCCCAGAAAGCCTATGAAGTCTAGCAGCATCACCTTCCAGTGGAATGTGCACCTGGCGCTGGCGCTATTTGATTGCTGAAAACATCGGATTTGTGGGCAGCGGATTTGGGGCCTCCGCTAACCTACGAAGCCAGTCTGGACTGCAGTCTGGACGCTCGACCTTCGAATCGCCCAGCAGCCAGTGATGGCGGACGCGACTCAGGTCAACAAGCTGAAGCTTTTTGAGGATATGTTGAGAAGAACCGTCCTAAGCACAGCGAACACCGCCCGGGTTGGCTGCTGGGTGGCGTCAATTCAATTGCTATCCACTGCCACCTCTACTATGTCCTTTTTGGTGGAGGCAGGTGGTAGGTCCATTCCAGTTTCGTTCCCTTCATTGACAGCCAAGGTGAAAACTCCTGAGCTGCGGTCCAAACTACACAACTCCTGAGCTGCACTTCCTTTTCTTCAACTCCATCGATCTACTGGTGGCGCGGGGCCCCTACTACGAGCCTGCAGGGTCCGTAGCAAACCACTCCAACAATCTGCAGCTATACTTCCATGATCTTGATTCAGGAATCCATGGATATTCCCTACACTTTTGCTTGCCAAAATTGAGCTCCATGCGCCATGCTTCACTAGGGAGGGAGTCTCCTCATTCTCAACACCCGCATCCACGCCGGCGAGTTCCGAGCTCCGAGCACGATCTGCTTGGCAGGGTCCGAGTCGGGCGAAAATGGGAAGTGTTGTCCCGTACGTCGCGACCGGTCACGGCACGGTCGCCCTTTCTCTGCTGTTCCTTTTTGGAGGGGCCGGATGGCGCAATGGAAGAGACTCAACAAAGTTGACAAAGGTCTCAAGGGCCTCAAGGTTGGATCCTGTATGTGTTTGTATGTTTTTGTTGATTGTGTTCGAACGCCCAGCCTGCCCCCTCCCATTTCGTGACACGGTGAAACCGGTGCAAAAAAACAAAACACTGGCATGACATGAATCGAGGCATCACTAAGAGGAGAGCAGCATGGCATTCGCTGCGGCGGAGGGTCAAGAGGCTCTCAGGTCCCGGGTCGTGTGGCAAGTCTTTTGATGTCTTTTGTGATCACAAATGTGTTGGCTTGGAAACCAGCCTCACGCTAAGCTATTTCGCGCTTCCTTCCGTGGTGTTCCGAAGCTTGTGCCTCGCTCCATGTCCAACTGAACTCTCAAAGGTACCTTCGATCATTGGCTACAGCTGCATTGCTACATTCAGCCGAAGTCTCCCTGATTTGGAATACTAAAGTCATCTCGATAATGTCTACAATTTGGAGACATTTCGGGCACGTTGAATGTTCGAAAGATCTCCGAACCACATCGAACCACCTAACATATTCCAAACACTCCATCATGTTGAACATTACCTATAAAACATGACCCCTGAAAAAATACCACCCCAATGACTACCCCAATGTATGCAAATCTGCCCGTCCCATGCCAGTCGTGTCTGGGTAAAGAACTCTTGAGATCTTTGCCACCCCTCTGAGCTGGTTCCACCCTCCGGGCGCGGGTCTGGCGGCTTGCGTCGGGCGTGGCGGAGGCATCTCAGGTGTCCAAGGAAGTCAACATGGCCACACCACGCTTGATCCAGTGCGACTGGTCGACCTGGGTGCGACTGGTCGACTTCTGAACAGAGGGTGCAGGAAGGAAAACCACCCTCAAATGGGCGTGATTGAACATAGGGAGACCTCCCAGGTGTCCCGACCCCCTTGGAAGAAAGAATATAGACCCAACACTCATTTTGTTTGGGGGTCCCCTTGCTGCGATACAAACCCAAATAATCAGGTCCCGGGTTTAAGAACTGGTTTTCTGGGTTTTGGTCGTTGATATAGTGATAGCTCCAGAAATGCTCTGCTCAGCTTCCATGCTGGGTTTTTGACTCCTAGATCATCTAGATCGACTCGCAGTGCTGTCCAGGATTCTAACCTCAGTTCTCATGAGTTCTGACCCTTTGGAAAGACATTTGGTCGGAAGCCTCCCACATTCCAAAGTGGTGGTGTTTTCAGTCTATCAGGGTTCCTGAGCAGTTTGGAATGTATAGACTTCGCACATTATAGGTTTGAATGTTTGAGAAAACCATGAGGTGTGAGAAAGTGTGATTGCCACACAGCAAAATCTGTACTATACACAACATGACCGAGGGCCAGCCACCAATGACAAATTCGTCCAAACCATCTACCAAATCCTCTACCCAAGTCGAAACCTGAAGGTCAGAATATCTTGACAAGTAATCATGCTTGGGTACCAAAAAACATTGGGTAGCTCATCAGCTCTGCAGTTTGCAGATGGATTTTCCAAGACCCTTCACTGAAACAAAAATCCGGAGGACCCACAAACACCATCAGTGCACATCATATCCACAAACCAACACTTTCGTAGTGCACATGTGTTCGTGGCCGGTCGAGCAGCATCACTGATGATCTTGATTGGCATCACAAAGTTCGTCGAGTGACCTGCCATCGTGTTTTTCTTTTTTGCGTTCGCCGCATGACCGCTCCAAGGAGCTCTTGGTCCCTTTTTGAGACCAAGTATAGGGAGGTTGACCAGCCCTATAGTCCTTTTGCCCATCCCATATGGTATCTACTACAGGGTCCTCACTTTAAGGTCTCTCAACCTCTCTTGGCAAGTAGGGAGGTCAGTTTGGTGCCCTATATCGGTTCAGCCCCAAGAAGTGTTGTTCAGCCCCAAAACTCTGATGGTGTGCCAAAAGCCAAGCCGCTCTTGGACCGTTCTGGCCGTCTTGATCATTCCCTAAGGATCCAGCCGTACCTTCTCAGGTTCGGCACCTGGACGGCACCCACCCCATGTCCCACCGTCTAAGAGGGTACGACTGGATTCCTACCAATGTCACTCCCTCTGCGCCTGTCTTGCTCAGCAGTCGGGGTATGTGGTCATTTCGCGAATTGCGGTGGAAGTGAACACGAAGTACCTGGTCCCCATCCCCGGCCTGTCGTGGACAAAACGCCCTTCCGGGTGGAGACCTTGTAGCAGGGACATTCCTCGGGAGCATCGGTGCCACATCGGTCCGGTTTGGACATCGGGGTGGAGCCTGAGTGACCTTGATCTTTGGACATCTTTGGACCACCAAGCACCCCCAAAAAAGATCGAAGATCTGGCTTTTTCAATTCTTACAGGTCAAAACGAATATATGAAGTCGCGTGCCCAAAGCTAAAGAGTAGTGGCCACCATTCCATTTTCTTGGCTATTGGCCTAGCACAAGGCCTAGCATGGGGACTTTATAAAGGGACTTCTACTTGTCTGATCTGAAAATTTGTTCATTCAAGGATGATACACATCTTCTCAGCCCACCACAGTGGCTCGGGGTGGGGGTTCGGAGGTCGATCTTGGAGCAGTGTTTAGAGATATCAAGAGATTCAGTGAACAATTTTCGCTTTCTTGGAGGCCCAAACAAACAGAAATAGGTAGTTATTTCTTCCTATATGGCAAATGAGATTCTTTGCATAGGAAGTTGCCTTTTTTGGGATTTTTGGGGGGGACGACACATCCATTTGTTTCTGGATGTTGTGTTTCCAGGTACGAGTGCTAGGAAGGAAAAGATCTTTCGCCAAGGTTTGCTCAAGCGAAACCAACTCGTGCAGCTTCCATCAGCAAGAAACACAGGTGCCGTTCCATCAGCAAATCAGTGGATGACCTGGTAACCTGCAAAATGCTGACAGTCACCAGTTCTCAAGAGATCTAACCCGTTTCGTTTCTTTTGGGGTGTCCTGTCAACCTCTGACTCTAGTGCAGGGATGTCCAGGTGACCTTGCAAGAAAGCTGGTACAAGTAGAGGTCCAATAAGATTTGGACCCCACTCATACAAGCCCTGCGTCTGGTTTCCTTTTTCTTTCTCAGCCTGTCGGACTGTCGGGACGTAAAATATCATGTTGATTATATATTCTCAAGGGATTTGAGACAATCCAATTCCAGTCCGAAGGTCACGATGACTATCTGCAATTACGCTGGAAGTCCAAGACCATGTTTGAAATGGTTGATCTAATTTTGCGGTGTAAATAAGCCCTTAGTAAAACAATGGTTGTTCGGGATTTAGGCGATTTAAAACATGGTGGTTCGACTTCAATGAACTACGTGACTAGCGTGAGGCAGGCAACATACAAACACATTTGCACAAGTCCATGCGAGACGCAGCCTCTGGGCCAAAAACACATAACAACCGGCTTTAAAGCTTCACAGAAACATACATAGAACATCATAGAAGCAGAACATAGAAACATGAAACGGGGTGTGTGGGGTAATCAACCTCTTCCAATTGCATCTCAAAAAAGGTCCTTGGACCTTTTGAGGCCCCCAAGACCCAAACCCAGCCATTGGCAAGATGCGTAGTGAGCGAAGTCCCTCAGGGCAGTCTTCTCCTGAACCAAAAACAGTTTCAACAGCTCTTAGCCACCTTTCCAGAGATTGACTCCCCCCCCTGCCAAGGGCAAACGAGAACAACATGGGACCCCTGCATCTGCTGGTTTGAATGAATGTTTGCCACCGACTTCCCTGCAGATTTACATGGGAATGAGGACCATGGTCTTCCACCAGCACGGGTCAAGTTGAAAACAGGTCCATGGGATCGTTCAGGTCACCTGTTCTATGTCGATTCATGCAACAAACGGCTTCTGGAATGGACAAAGCATCTGGATTTGATGATGTTGGCACTGATTTTGGCCCATCTTTCGCAACCTCCGGCGCTGGATGTGGGGAAGAACCCAAGCAAGCGGCTGGTTGCCGGAGATCTGAGCGCCGGACACATGGCATCAAGTGTATCAAAGGAACACTGGCCTCAGCGCATCAACGCTGAAGGTTGGTGCCCCCTGGTCCGCGAAATTCCTCGGCTTGGTGGGTTTTTTCGCCTTTTTTTGGTTCACCAGGTTTCCCAAGTCCGATTTGTTCGTGACATCGGGGGGGGTGCCCTGTAGCTCCCATGACTTGAAAGTGAAAGGAATGACCCGCAGAGTTGCACCAACCCGGAAGGTGATTGGACACATACCGGAACACTCCCTCAAATGGAATCGGAAGCAACGCTCACCACCTGATTGTAAAGGAAACAAACATGTTTATTAGCTCCTTTCGAATCCAAATTGTCTAAGTCATATTGTCCTGGCAAAAAAAGAGCGTCCCCAAAGGCCGTGACCGAAAAGAAACCAAATGGAACTCCATGTGCCATCTACCGAGAACATGGGCAGGTGAGTCGGTCTTGAAATGGCTGCTGGAATTTTGGAGCATAACTTAAATAGACGCCCAGAGGAGCACTCAGTGGAGTATAGTGACATCCACTCGGAATTGATCCTGGAGACCAAAAGCAACCAAAACTGGATGACTGTTCCAAAATGGCACTTGAGATATCTTGAGATCCGTGACGTAAGAATTGGCTGTCTGTTAGGAGAAACTATGCCTGTTGTTTCTGCTTAGGATTGGGTTTCTAGGTGGTCACCAAATGAAATCCAACGGTGGATCGTTCCTGGTGCCCGGTCTGATGCTTAGACTGCATCCATCCTCTTGTCATGCCAAGGTGCATAGAGCACCTTCGGCTCTGACTCTGCCAACTTCCACTCGTTCCAATCCTCAGGTCTTCGGGTTGCCCAAAACAAACGAGGAGCAAACAAGGACGCTACTAGGAGCAAAGGGCATCGCTACTAGTAACAAGAAGCTATATTACAAAAGTTAAAAGATTGGTGTTGGAGCAAAAGTACCAAAACAAACGAACCAGTTTTTCACCTCCCCCCAAAAGAAAAACAACCACATGCGCACACAAACCTTCCGTTTTCCAATACACATGGTTTCCCGCGGACAGAAATCTGAGCTCTTTGAATGTCTTTTGGCCCCAAGCAAGCCCAGAACTCTCCATATATAAAGATGTTTTTCAATCCAAATGCGCGGGGATATTCATCAAGAGTCTACATTGAGGCCGGTCTTCCTGTCCAAGGCTCCCATCGACAGGCTTCGAAGAAAAGGCCATAGGTGTAAACACCATCCTCCGGCTTCTCCGTGAACTCCTGCTCCTCATAGCCAGCCAAGCGCACGGTGCATGTGTTCCGCACAAGCCAATCAAAAACGCTGGTTCGGCCCCCGTGAACATCAGCGAAGTGTCTTGGACGAACCAGGGCGGCACCGATGGAAACGAAGGGATCTATGGTTGTGCCGAACCGGCCGGGGGGGGCCTTGATGCCCGGTTCGAATCCTGCATGGAATCCCAACCAAAGGCTCCCAACTGAATGGCTTCTTCCGCCTTCCTGTGCAAAAATGATCATTGTGGGTGTCCTATGGCTTCCTGGGAATGAGCCCACCAACTTCATTATAGTAATTATCCATGGCATTCCATGGTCCAAACAAGCCAGGTCATTCAGGTCCTATTGCTTCCGCAGGAGCCCAAGCAACACCAAACGCACTGGCACGCCTTGGGATAGAAGAAGTCGAAGGTCAAGGTGTCGATGGGTATCTTGTATTTCCGCCTTGGGGCGAGCAGCGAGCGGAAAGAAGCGGATGGCGTGAAAGAACAAGCTCCAAAGAAGCAACCCGCATAGCAGGCGCTAAGCTCTGTGTTGTTGAGGCTGGACTTGTGCTTCTTCCACAGCCAAGCCATCCATGGGACTCAAAAATAGCCATACTATTTTCTGCCCATCCAAATGACTCAACCATCGTGGCGTAACTCTTCCAGTCCTATGAAGAGTACCTACACGGTGCGACTGGACTAGCTGATCAGCAAGTGCATGGTGCAATCCGACAAAAACCTAACACCATCACATGGAATCCTGTAAGTGGAGTGTCCACCCTGCATCCAAGGGTTCATTGCTCACTTCCATGTGGTCGGAGGGTATATTGAGTGGACTTGTCAGGGCGTTCAATCAATCTCAAGCATGCGGCCGGCACATTTGGCTTGGCAGTTTTGACACCAAAACACTCTTGGGTCGCGTGGGTCGCACAGAAAAAATGCAAACGGTTCTTCACACATCATGGAGGCAAAAGCTTCAATACGGCCAGTGGGAACCATGTTATAAAGACACAGGACACTCGTCACGTGACGACGACGTGTTCTTCCCAGTCCTCTGCCAGGGTATCCAAGACACGCAAAGTTCTGCGAAGCGCCAGTGGTGAAGGCTTGAGTGAAATAGATTCCACTGAACCAGAACATCACCGGCGCTCCGTTGTCCACCCATTTCCTGGGCAAAGCATAGATGGAGAGCTCATCTATGAGGGTCTTGCATTGTTTTTGTGCGTGGAAGCTTGCGTGGAACCAGGGAAGCCACTCATGGCACACCAAGTAAAAATGCACGATGTGCACCAGAATGATCATCTTGGAATCTGGCAAGGAGCAAGGAAGCCAGTTGAAAGACCCTCCCGATTGCCTGTAGACTCTTGATCAATAAAGCACCATATGGACCTCTTACTGCGGGGGGGGTTGTTATCAAGAGCCTAGATTAATGCGTATGTTTCACCTTGCCTGCCCCTGAGAGCAGGTTGTTGATGTGCATGTCGAAAGAATCTGTTCTTATCTATTTTCTCCCATCCAAAAGAGCATGTCTTACAAACCCACCCAGAGTGGGCCGAAACACGCAAGTTCTTCGGCCTTTGCCCCACGATATATCCGATACACACCTGCAGGCTAACAAAGAAAATGTCCCACCTGATAATTACCTGAAACTGCAAATGGCTGAATCTTCCTGATCGTACGGCCGTGGCCATTTTTTTTTGTCATTACGGTTTGCTGTTATTTCTTGATGTTTTTGGTCATTTCCGGGAAAAGGCCAAAATATGTCTTGGGCGTTTATTGGGTTATTTTGTTTCTTTTTGGGCGTTGTTCGGGTAGTATCCATATTTGGGTCAAATATGCCCAAAACAACCAGCGATTTCAGTCGTTTGACTGACATTTTTTTCTGGTCATTACGGATAAAGCTGAACTTTGACCATATTCCCTGGTCATTACGGCATATTCGCAAAATGGCTGGAAAAAAATCAGGCAAACGCAACTCCAGGTACATAATACATATTAATTTACACACTATGAAGCTCCTTCCAAACCCACCGCACACATCCTCCGCCAAAACAGAGTGGATATCTGAACTTGATGATTCTGATACCGCCCTCACCTTCTGTGGTCAAGAGTTGCATGACGTCGACGATTTGAGCTGCTCCTACTTCGGCCGGAACACTTGAGCAAACATATGATGATCGAAATGTATCGTTATCAATTGATCTGCCCAGAATGATGTCCAGCTTCTTGCCAAGACAAACCCCCCTACCCCAAAAAGGGTTATATAAATTATCTTTTTCAGTTGCTCTTGTCCGGTCTAGATCGTGGCTTCCGTGAGATCCGCGGGCTTGGACCAGGCCACTGGAAGAACTTGAGCCGCTCGACCAGGTCGTTGATGTAGCCACCCAAGGGCTTCCTGAAAACCAAGGAGTTCCGCAGGAAGGAACTCATGGCAGTGGATCATGGCACCGGCAAACACTGTTTTTTTCCCACCGATGAACGGAATGGACTACTTCGCACATGGTCAACATATATGGTCAACCTACCTTAAGCGGCCAAAGAACAAACACCCTCACCCGCCCAAACAGCCGCATTGCCCGCTGCGCATGTCCCAGCGGCAGGGAGGGATAGGAGTGCTTCAGCCACATGGCCGGCGTCTTCCCGTCGAAAATCTCGAAGAAGGCCGTCTCCAGGTTGGCGCTCATGAGCAGCAAACCTCCGGAGCAAGCAGCTGGAGATTCCGAGATGCCAGCTACGCTTGGATGGGAGAAGTTTGCCAACATCCGCGAACGCCTTTCTCCGATGGCAAGCATCCGGAAAAACACCTCGGTAAGAAGGGGGTAGAATTCCAGCATGTTTTTTAGGAACGATGTTTTCTGCTGTGTGGCGAAATGGCTTTGATGGAGGGATTGAGTCGTTAGAATCTAGCCAGGTAGGAGGAAGCTCCCGGCTATCACATTAGTGCCAGGTGGGTCTTTCAGTAACGGGACGTCAGGAAATGTCAAGAAGTTATAAGCAATACGCCTGGGCATATCAAGCCTTTCTTCGTGCCAGGTGGGGCAAGTGGATCTGACGCCATCTTTTCTCACAAGTTCTATTTTCCAAGTCAGTCTGGAGCTAGTTACAGCTAGTTTGGGAGGCGGCTTCACCGCCACCCACCCGCAGCGAACTCGCACTTCCCTGCCTTTGACCGCCTTCTGGATATCCTTCAGCGAGCCCTGAATGGCCTGCGCAAATCCGCATACTGGGAACTGCAGTTCTGTCGACAACTGGGAGGTGCTTGGAATGAAGGGAATCGCCAAGTCTGGAAATCTTCCAAATAATCAAGTTGAGCCAGCTGTGCGAAAAGGGTTCATCTACAACTGACATGACCGGTAGGAAGCAAACAACCATCAAGCACTATCAAGCAAACAACCAGGTCGCCTCTTTCTTTCTGCCTGACGAACACAAAATCGCCTCCAACACACCTGGTGTTCACCACTAAAGTGACCATCCGGCCACACCACGACCCGTTGACCGACCCGAACCGGTGACCGCAAGCTGCTCCAGAACACCCACAACTGGGTCAATATGCCAAGTCCCACTACAAGCCCTATAGGGATCCAGTACTGGATCCGTTGTCACCGGGACCCGACCCGACGCTTTGGCACCGTCGACCATGTCGACCCTCATGTGTCTCCGTCCTCACCGGGCCGGTTCGGTACGAAAACGGATCCCTTTCCGGGAAGTACTGACTCCTTTCCGCCGCTTTCTCTGGAAGTTCTGAAGCTTCACCGAGCTGTCTACCTGTTCGAAGCTCTCTGACTGGGACACCCGTCTCACTGAAGACACTCTGGTCTGTACCTGTTCTTGAGTGGGACACCCTCCCCACTCCCCCCAAACTGCTGGTGACCTGCAGATGATCCACCTACTTTCCGACCACATGGGCTCAAGACCGGCCTTCAGAAGACCGTTGAAGCGTTTCAGCTCCTGTGCCAGCACGGTGTTCATGCTCTCCGCGTAGAGGGTCGGATAAATCTCCTGCCAGGTGGTCATGGCACGCTGGTCATGGTCACCGTCCACGGTGGCACCCATGGCACGGCACGGTTGACCCGGTCGGTCGTGCGAAGAAGTCTGCGAACATCACTCCAACTGTTAGGCCTAACCGGGCGGGGGGCTGAGAGAGAGAGACAGATCTGCCCAGTACCCGAACCGCATTGCAACGAAGCTCTCGCGAGAGTCACTAACCTTTTGGATCATGGCTTCTAGTAATGGAATTGTTGCACAAAGAATGGAATGTCGTCGATGACTTCCAGCAGCCCCAGTCGACATGGACATCTACATTTTCTGATGATCGGTGAATTGATTGGACGGCTCATCCCATGAAAAAAAGAGTGGATGGTGACTGCTAGCGATTCCACGTGATTAATCTATAACATCCCTATAGGGCTCCAATGGGCTCCAAGCACCTCCTCAGAGGGTATTTGGACCTTCTCAGAAGGTGCTTGGAGCCCTAGGGATAATAACCCCCTTCATTGTCGGGTTGGATGCTTTCTATACACTTTGGGCCCTATGAAATGGCCTAAAGGGGTGGATTTCCTATATAATGCAAAACAGTGCAAAAACCATCCAAACTATAAAATGGGGATGGTGGATTCTGAGCATTCAACACTTGCAAAACCTTAAGAACAACACCAAGATTCAGAGTGTGCACCGCATGGGTGCCCTACAAAATGAGGGTCAAAATTGGCTAATATAGCACAAAAGGATCGGCAGATCGGCATTTTATAGGCGAACACCGGTGGGGGTTGGGATAATGATTAACGAAAAGTTGTTGATTTGTTCACCTGCAATGAGGATCTCCTCCGAACACCTGCCAGGTCACCAATCCCCCCCAAAATCGGTGAAAGTTTGCTGACCACGCCCGATCTGCATTCCCAAACAGCCACGAGCAGTACGGAACCAAGGCTTCTTTCAGTCTGCGTCTTGAGTCTTTGCAGTGGTTACCTAACATAGTTGGAACATGGATCCACAGGGAACGTTTGCCTAACATCCCGCATATTTGTCTTTCAAAAGGATCTCTGAACCTAAGGTGGATCTTGAATTCACAAAATCCTGAAGGTCTCTGACAATGTCCTTCCTTCCTTTCTCGCGCGTGCGGGGAAAGCGCAGAAGTGCCTGGACCTTGGCCACATCCCAAGGCTCCGGCAGACGGCTCAGCACGTCCTGGTGACACAACGAAGAGACGCACAGCAAAGGAATGCAATCGATGCCCTACATGGCATGGTCCCCATATGCCCCCAATTTTTACATTTGGATCTTTATCTATTCTCCACGCTAGAGGCTACAACTGCTAATCGATCACTTTAGTTCATGTTAGCCACTGTTAGCCAAGCTCGTCACAAACGGCCGTTTTCATCTGAACCGTTACCCCACTCATACGGCGCACGCGAAAATTCGTCCGCGCCACGGACCTTTGCAATCTCGCCCACCACGATGTCAGGGGAGGAGCCACCAGAAGAGCTGGAGGAACCAGCCGTCAGCAGCAGTTCCATCATCATGTTGTAGGTCTCACCCATTTCCTGTTCACCGTGACTGGGAGGGAAGTGATTTAGAGCCATTTCCTAGGGATCCAGTCGTACCTTCTCAGGTACGGTGATTGGAGACACTGTTATGTAGGTTTGGAGGGTCCAAGTACCTTCTGAGAAGGTACTTGGATCCCTACGGATTCAGAATCAGTTAGCCCTCCTGTTCTTTCACGTGGCTGGGATGGCACGCTGAAAGAAATCCTCTTGGACACACAGCACATCTGGCAGAACCAAAAAAAACGCACAACTCTTTCACCAAGCTGTAGTTGAAAACTGGGTGTACCTCATATCATATCACTAGTGAGTTGGAGAAAGGGTCCCAAATGTCCCAAAATGGAAAAGATTCGGGCTCACTTGCTGCGATGAAAGGCCTCACCCTGGATATATGATGCGAATCTGTCCAAAACTATGAGACCAGGTGAATCTGCTGAATCGAAAGCTATACATTTTGGGCCGCCAGTTCTCACCCAGGTCTCCCCGAAAAGGCCCTCGATTTGGGGCAATTTGGTGAATGGGGAAAGTATGAAAGGGCTCAACCAAGGAGGAGTTCGAAAGGCATCTAAGTATATCAAAGTAATAGAAGATTATCTCAGGCCCAAGAGCTTGAGGCATTGGCATGCGAAACCATTAGTACGTACTGAAAGGGATCTTCACACCGGGGCACCGGCGCAAACACCGGCCACCAATGTCGGGGCCCCGCACCTTGGTGAGGTTGGCATTCTCATGGAAGCCAAAGACGCCCGGAGGCGTCACCAAGGGCAGGCTACCTCGGCAGCTGGATGGTGACGAGGCGAGGTTTCTGCAGAGGCGACATGGAACCAGACCGAGATGGACTGGGAGGAGGGGTCTTATGTCCAGGCAAGGAAAAGGCCATTCAAATGAGGTGCTCTCTGAGTGCGAGCCTACCCTTCACCAAATGGCTGCGCCAAACTTCCGCAGCTCACCTTCCGCACTTCTTCCTTCGCCCTGTTGAACCCCCCAGCCGCTGGGGATCCCAACGGATGTGGTCCAAATGTTCCTCATAGCCACCCTTGGGTGGTGGCACATAAGTGGGTCCATTCGTCTCCTGGTAGAGCACGAAGTCATCGTTCAGGGCTTCCTCCACAGGAGCTCTCTTGCGGGAGTAGTTGGGTCAAGTTGGCCTGGCAGGTGGTGGTGGTGGTGGTGGGGGTGTGGAACCGGCGGTGTTGCAAGAGTCCATGTTTTCGGAAAATGCCAATTGATTTCCCAAAAAAAGAACAGCTTAAACGACATGAAGTAAGGCAGTGATGGAGCAAAACATCAATAACACCCCACCCTGGCAGTTCCACCTTTTGCACCGATCTCTTCCCGTTCCAACCCACCCACCGCTACTTCTTCTCGGCGCGCGGACATCTCCTCGCAGTAGTAGCTCTTCAGCAAGGTGGCCAACAGTCGTCGATCCATGGCTTCGGTCACGCGGCCGCCGTAGTTGCACTCGCCCGTCAAGTAGTTCAGCGCCTCGCCCGCGCGCGCGCGCGCGCGTAACACGTCCGTCGGTCGTCGGTCGTCGGCGCCGTTGGGTTTGGGTCGTCGCGGTGTGTGTGTGTGTGTTTGTTGTTTTTGCGGATGACAAGGCGATGTTTAGGAGGGTTCTGGGCTGCATGAAGGTACAAGTACAGTGTACAGGCACGATCAATGGACATCGTGTAGGTGTGAGGCTCTTACTTGGTCGGATGGAAATCTAAACAACAAGAACTGAATACATGGCATTGGCTGGTAGTTAAGTAAAGTGATGAGGAATAATATGGAATAATACCGTGTACGATCCTATCTCGGACTAACATGGAAGTAGCCAATGGCATCAAGGAATTCAACTTTTCTCTACAAACAAACAGGTGTTTTTTGATGTCAATGGTAGCGAGTCGGAGGGTAGTTGGGCAAGTCAGCCCAAACCTTGGACGATAAACTTTAAACGCGTGGAAAGACATCGCACAACATAAACCAACAACAAATAGGGCATGTCTCAGTAGCAGGACAAAGTAACTCCAAAGCCAAAATGTGATCTCAGAAGTCCAGAAAGATCACAAAAAAACATACAACAACAATCCTAAATCAATGTCTCCAAATGAGTGTGTTACATGATATGTTACATGTGATGGACCAGCTTTAGACCGGTA